CTCCATGTTTTCCATTATCGTTGCTCCATCATTCGTAAGCAGCATCTTTTTGCCGTAGAACAACTTGTCCAACCCATATGGTCCAAGTGTCTTTGCCACGAAGTCAGCCACACTCTCCACTACAGAAATGTTCGCCTTGATCTGTGATACGCCCTGTCTGCAGTCTTCTACCTTCTCAGTCTTGAACAAATATTGGCATCCTTCCATCTGGGCAAAACTTTTCTTCTCATTTTCACCTAAATCTCATTCTCCTACAAAACAGTCTCAATCCCCCAATAATCAGCACATAAACAACACAGCCAATTCCAATGTCCCTGGCTGCTGCCCACCCCATTGCATTCTCATACGAATCAGTTCCAATGCTACTGAACAGTTTCTGGTGCAACCAGACGAATGTGATGCTGAATAGAAGCCAAAATGCGCCAGTCAGAATCAGAGTGAATTTGTGAAGCAAGGATACGTCATTTTCCTCTGCTTTTGCTTCCAGGTACAGCTTCTGCTCGTAGAAGGAGAGCTGGCTGCTCTCCTTGTACTGTTCGACGTTCTTGTTGTCCATGAAGAGCACCCGACTCCCATGAGTCCGAACTCCACCTTTTTCTTCTATGTCTCCTACTTCTGCCATGGGCTTTGTTTGTGTACTAACAATTTCACTCGCATAATTTAATGCTATTCCAACTTCTGCTGCTCTTGTGGTCGATTCAGAATCTCCTGCACCTGACTAATCTGCCCAGCCTTCATGATCTTCAACGCCTCCTGTCCCACGGATCCAGGCCTCACATTTCCCAGCATCTGCCTTACAAACTCATACGCATCCAACGAATCCAGTGGATTGGCCGTGCATATGTCTTCACACAGCATCTCCTCCTCACTGCTCTCCTCGTTCTCCTCATTCTCTTCATCTGCCATCAACTCGTTTCTCTTCTTTATTGCNTTGTGTACTAACAATTTCACTCGCATAATTTAATGCTATTCCAACTTCTGCTGCTCTTGTGGTCGATTCAGAATCTCCTGCACCTGACTAATCTGCCCAGCCTTCATGATCTTCAACGCCTCCTGTCCCACGGATCCAGGCCTCACATTTCCCAGCATCTGCCTTACAAACTCATACGCATCCAACGAATCCAGTGGATTGGCCGTGCATATGTCTTCACACAGCATCTCCTCCTCACTGCTCTCCTCGTTCTCCTCATTCTCTTCATCTGCCATCAACTCGTTTCTCTTCTTTATTGCTCCTGGTAGTGTTCCTAGAACATGAACAAATGCCTTGTTCAACTCTTCGTATGAAACTGGCCTGGATGCATCCATCTCAAAGAGTGTCCTTATGAAGACAATGAACGTCTTCTTGTCGACTACTCGCCTGAAATTGAACGCGTACTCCCAGCACTTGTTGTAGAAGGTCTTTTCGTACTGTCCCATTTTTGAGGCAGTTTCAACTGGCTTCAGCACCAGACAGTTCATCAGCACCTCCAAACAGTAGACCATGCACGTTGCTGAGTCGCTCTCTGCCTCCTCAATTCGCCATACGATCTTCTCCACCACTGTTGGAATGAATGCCCCAGCCTGTGCCACTCGTGGCCCATGATACATCAACAGTGCGTTTATGATGTTGCATCCTACGACACAGTCTTCCTCGTACACCGTCTCCTCTGTTGCGTAGAAAAGCACGAACATCTCGTAGAACAGTTTGAGAGTCTCCTCGTTGACTATTTTGTCTCCTCCAAAAGAGGCGATATTGTCCATGAAAATGGTCATTTCTGCCCCGTAGAGACACAACTCCGACTTCGACACTGCTCCCACTGCCCTGAATACCTCGTATGCCCTTGCATCCACCTCTTCCATCGTGTAGAGCAGCGTGTTTATCAACTCGAATCCCTCTCCAAATAGTTCCAGCATTTCCTCCTTGAATATTTTGTATATCACGCCTATGGATATTTCATACACTTTTTTCACTATTTCCGGCTTATCTGCGCTAGCAGCAACAAGACGGTCGATTGACGTGAGATAACAGGTGATTGTGGCCATTCCGGCTCCCTCGTCTCCGGCCACGAGCAGCTCCTCGATACTGTGGACGAGCGAGCCGACGAATCTCGGGGCGTAGTCCGTGATGAGCTCTCCGAAGATGTCGACGAGCACCTCCATCGTCGTGCTCAGCGACTCAAGCGGATACGCCTTGTTGAACCTGAGAATTGTTTCGATGAGGCCTGGAACGATGCTGTTCATTTCGGCCTGGATGCTCTCTGCGCAGAAGAAGAAGTTCATTGCCAGGGCAGCCTCGACCTGGAGAGCTGGATTTGAGTTGCCGCCGAATTCGAACACTCGTTGCATCAGAGCAACCAGCTCGTCCTTCTTCAGTGTCGCATCCTCTGCAATTGCCAGGAAGTAGAGGGCCTGGGAGACCATGAACTGCTCCTTTGAAAAAAGAGCAGTTCGAACTGGCCCATTGACGAATGCGGCGTAGTTCTCGTCTCCCAGGGCGCCCTTGACGTACTTTGAGCTGTCAGCAAGGAGTCCCAGTATCCCGTACTGCGTCCTTGCGCCTGAATCCGGGCTGCTGTACGTCTGTACCATCGCATGAACGACCTGTCCAACCAGATGCCTGTTGTGCTTCAAAATGGTGTGGAAGAGCGAGCTGACCTCTGCTCGGAGCTCGTTGATCCTGTAGTTGTATCGCTCAGAGAGGTAGTGGCCTGGATCGTGCTCAAAGGACACCTCGAGGTCGTCGCTGAATTTCGATAGGGGGAGAACGAAGCCAAAGAGGAGGCCGCGGATGCTTCGCTCGAGAAGCTGAGTCGTCTGCTTCGACGACGCCACCGTCTCGTAGAACTGCATCGTGTGGAGCAGATAGCACTCGTCTGCGACGACACCTCTGCCGTACTCCTCGATGACGGAGTCGAAGACGGCAAGGAGCCTCGCGAGCACGGCCTCGTCCTGCACGTAGCTGCAGAGACTCTCCTTGCTGAAATAGTTCCTGACTCCCCTGTTTGTGCTTCTGGCCAGAAAGTGAAGCGCCTGCTTCTTCGTCTCAACGAACTCCTCGTTTTCGTAGCAGCCCAGGCCGCAAATGGCAACGGCGATGTTCACGTAGAAGTTGAAGACGTCCTGTTCGGCGCACTTCTTCGGGATGCTGAAGACGCTGTACATCTCGGCCACGCAGTGCATGCACGTCTTCGCAATCGACCAGTTTCCGGCAGCCACGGCCTCCTGGAACTTCTGGGCGAACTGGTTTCCAAAGTCGCCGAAAAAGACGGAAAGCGGGTTCTTCATCAGGCCGCTTGGCATCTCGGACCGGAACATCAGCGACGCAAAGAGCAGCCCCGCCCTCACTCGCGCAGCCTCGTTCGTCCCCAGGCACTGCGCCGCCTGCCTCATGGCCCGGACGACCTTCTCGTCCTGCGCCTTCTCAAAGAACGTCATCGCAAGCTTCTTGTACGCGTCCAGCTCGCTCTTCCCGCCCGCAAAGACGAGGTAGTTCACCACGTTCTCCTCAAACTGCACGATGAACGGCTTTATCTCCTCGCACGAGTAGTTCTCGCTGATTCGATTCGCCAGGAAGACGGTCGCGGCTTTGCTGATCATGAAGTCCTTGTCCTTCATCGTCGTGCTCTGGATCGTCCGCAGCGCGTCCATGTTCTTCCCAAGCCCCCTCAGCGTCGCCTCAGCCCTGTTTCTGGTCTCCGTGTTTGCGTTCGTCGTGTCCAGAAACAGCTTTCTCAATTCCTGTTCGTACACGGTCATGTGGGCATAAAATAATGAAAATTTATGGGGATGAAATACGAAATGGAAGGAATCAGAGACATCAGGGACCTGAAGCACGCGGAGCTGCTTAGGACACTGGACAGCCTGGATCTGACTGACCAGGAGACGCTATCACGCGTCAAGAAGACCATTTGTGAGCTGAACAGCAAGAAGAGGGGAATAATCGAGTATTTTGAGAGGAAGCTGGACAGCGAGACCAAAGTGACCAGGATTCTGCTTCGTAGGCTCTGGAATGGGCAGGAGAAGACGCCTGGGCTGGCCAGGGCATTCGAGGAGGTCGATGCCCAGGTTGGGGCGGAGTAGCGGCTACTGCTTGTAGTAGCGCATCAGGAGGAAGATCGACTTGTTGTACCGCTTATCCCGTTCCAGAACGTGAAGGAAGTCTCTGTGCGTGATTGTTCTGTTTTTGCCAGAAATGGCCCTTTCGTCAAATGGCGAATAAATCGAGTCAAATCGACTCGTCTCGTCGACCTTCTCAACCGAACTCATCCAGCTCTTCTGCTTCACGCCCATCGCAGCCATCGCAACCGTGTTCGACTGCTTCTTCTTGATCAGCAGGTCCTCTCGCTCCTGGACGCTCTTCTTCTTCTTCTCCTTCTCAGGGTGCATGTTCAGCTTCTCGGCCTTCTCCTTCTCCAGCTCATTCAGAAACCACATCTGCCTCGCATGCTCGTTGCAGACCGTGAAGCGGTAGCCGCCCAGCCCAAACTCCGTCCTGACTCGACTCGCCTCGTCCATTCGCTCCAGCAGACTCATCGTCTTCCTGTAGACAACCAGAAATATCAAATTCACCCCATCTTCCGTGATTTTCACTCTCCTGTTCTGGCAACAGCTGTTTATGTATTTGGTGAAGAGCTTCAGGTTGAAGAGACACTCAAATGCACCGATGCTGTTCTGGAGATCCACCAGAGATTGTGTCTCGCTGTAGTTCGTGTAGATCTCCTTCACGATGTTCTCAGCCTCCTCCTTCAGGTTCACATTCGTGTACTGCATGATGTCATCTATGTTCTCGTCATTCTTGGGCGGCTTCTTTGACTCGCCCTGGCCCAGAACAGGCGACTCGACCATTCCACGTCTCCCACTCTGCTCCTGTTCCGTGTTGAACAGCCTCTGATACTCGTGTTCAGTCAGACACTCTGAACACTTCTCCAGGAAGTCGTGAATTGTGATCTCCTCCTGTTTCAACTCCATGAAGGCGTTCTCAATCTGCTCCTGCTTCTCTGTGCTCAGAGTGGCAAAGAACCCCTTATCAACTTGCATGGGCAATAAATTGAGACTGGTCCTCTACCACGATAAATTATCACCCTGGTCATCAGCCAGAATATTGTTAAGGAAGACACTTGATTGATTACTGTGATATATTGCAGACATAAAAGAGGAGGCAATTTGTTTAGATGACTAACACTCGTAGAATAGACAAAAGCATGAATAATCTATCCAAGGTAAACTACACGTTCTTCTGGCTCAGGTGCGTAGTATTGGCCGCCACAATCTCGTTCAAGAAGTACAGTCAGCCAGAACTGGCCTCGACAACTCTTGCCTACGTCCTCTTCACTGCCACTCTCAACCTACTCGTATTCTCAGAATACGCCCGCTACTACATCCAGCACGACACATTCAGCAAGTACCACGCCTGCTTCTTCAACGTCTACAACATCGCTCTCCAGGCCCACAACCTCATCATCTACGCCAGTGAGGCAGGCACCTTCATCGTGGTCGTAGAAGCCATCCAGGCCGTTCTTTCTTTATCAGAAATAGTATTTTGCATAAAATACCTGAGATACGAACAAACAAAACACGAAATAGCTGCTTTAGCGAGGGTTAGTTCCAGTAATAGACTTAAATACGCATACAGCATCAGGTGTGCTCTTACGGGATACTACATGACCAATATCACGTATACGACAGTCTACGTCCTCTTCTCATTCCACTACGTCGACCTGAATTGGATCGTCAAGACAGTCAATGGACTCCTTCTCTTTCTGACACTTCTGTCTGAGACACTGCTGTTTGCAAGAGGAAGCAAGAAGGAGCGAGAGAGAGTCTACAGCGAGAACGTGGAGATGAGACGCCTTGCGCTCATTGCCATCCTGGTCAGAACGGCCCTCCTCACCGTCGACACGTTTCTCTCCTACACGTTGCTGGTTGCCCTGGACAGAAACGACCCCGACCTGTTTGGAATATCGACGATGAAGGTGACTGCCCAGCTGTTTCTCTTCTTTGAGTTCACGACGCAGTTTCTCCTTGCAATTGAGGACTATCGGATGATTGGAGTCGGACTGACTGACCTGAACCAGGCCAGCTACTACACCAGAATGAGTCTGCCTACGAGTAAGTGACTATAAAAGAAAGTCATTTCATACCCCAAGAATGGAACCTGAATCCTCAATAAACCCTGGTGATTACATTTTATTCATTTCAGAAAGTGACTTCTTGTAGAAGACTGAGAAGTCGACTGAGTCGCTGAGAAGCGTGTCGAATGAGCCCTCTGCTGCCAGACGCCCCTCTTCGAAGTAGAAGATTCTGTCGAAATCAGGCAGAACCAGGACATTCTTCACCGATGCCAAAACAGTCACATTTTCCAGGTAGATTCTGAGTGACTCCAAAAAGAAGCGTTCTGTCTGAATGTCCAATGCCGACGTAGCCTGGTCGAGAAGCAGAAGCGGTGCTGCCTTCAACAGCGTCCTCATGAAAACCAGCTTCTGCTTCTGGCCCCCACTCAGCCTGTTTCCCAGTGACCCAACAGGCGTGTCGTAGCCGAGTTCCTTGAAGAGGCCGTGGAGCCTGAACAGCTTGCAGCACTTCATGACGTGCTCGTCGCTGAGACTGCTCTCCCCCATCTTCAGGTTGTCCATGATGGTCGTGTCGAATATCTGCGTCTCCTGTGAGATGTATCCGATATTCGCCAGAAGCGAGCTCGTCTGAATCTGCTTCTGCTCGTAGCCGTCGAATATCACGGCGCCCCTGTACGGATAGAGCCCCAGAACAGTTCGAAGGAAGACGGTCTTTCCGGCTGAGCTGGGCCCACAAACTGCAATTTTCTCACCCCGCCTGATTGTGCAATTCACGTTCTTGAGGACTCTGCTGCTTCCAAAGTGGAGATTCAGGTTGATGACGTCAATTCGGTCTGTGAGGCGGTGGAGCCTGAATTTGGCTGCGTCTGCCTCGGCCTCCTCGACCTGGACGTCCTCGATTCCGGAGGCAGTGAAGTTGAAGTAGCTCGTGTAGACCGAATTCATGTCCTGGAGAATCGACACCACCACGTTGTTCATTTTGAAGGAGGTGAAGATCACTTCCTCAAGTTGGATCCGTGATATCCTCTCGTGGTAGTTCAGCGAGTAGTAGATTGTGACGAAGACCATCAGAAACGCAACTGTGGTGAAGTAGGCGATCAGGACGTAGAGCACCTCGTAGATCTGCCTGTAGTAGACCATCTCATCCATGGCCACGCGGTACTTCATCAGCTCAGTCTCCTCGTTGCAGTAGCTTCTGACTCGCTCGTAGTTGATGAGGACGTCAAGCAGCTTCTGGCTGTTCTTGTTTGTTGCGTCATTGATCAGTCGTCTCAGTCTGGCTCGTCTGATCTGAAGCAGCGAGAGGGCGAGGAAGAAGGCGAGGAGGACGCCGCCTGCCTTGGCAAAGGTGGCCAGTGAAATGTACAGGGCCAATCTGCTCACAATCACGCCGAGGTAGATCAGGTTGATCACAAATCGAAGAGTGAGAATTCGGAGGAATTTGATCAGTGCGCCTGATCTACGTGTGATGGAGCATTGGATGGCACCGACTCCAATTCGCATGAAGTCAACATATTTCAGGTTGCTGTATTCGTCGTAGAAGACACGAACTGCATTTTGATAGGATTTCGCAACCAGATCAGTCGCAAGGACGCTGTTGACGTATTCGAGCAGCGAGTGGAGGAGTTTCAGGGTGGCGTAGAGGAGCATTCCTGCCGTTCCGAGACCGAGGTTGTTTGCGACTCCTTCCTGACTCGACGTGTAGAGGGAGATGCAGGATGCGGCAACTGCGACTGCTATGATCGTCGGAACGGCCGCAGTGGCATTTGGAACAGCAAACAGAATCCCAAAGAGCGATCTGCCTTGGCGATCCTTAAACTTGGCCATAAAGGGATCTCCGAAACAAAAGGAAGTCACGCAATTTGTTTACTAACAAACAAATTGCCTATGCATAATGTGACGTGTAAATTAGTGGCTGCTACAGTTTGGCCTGGGTCGTGGATACGTCGTAGAAGCGTCTGAATGCCTCGTTCCTTTCGTACAGCTCGTCGAAGGAGCCTGCGTCTCCGAGGGTCTTCTGGTCGAAGAAGAGGACGCGGTCGAAGAGCGAGAGCGCCCTCAGGTTGTGGACGATGACCAGAACCGTCTTGCTCTTGCACCTGTCCACCACGTTCCCCAGCATCTCCTCCTCCGACTTCTTGTCCAAGTTTGCTGTTGGCTCGTCCATCAGCATTATTGGTGCATTCTTTGCTATAGCTCGCATAAATGCTATTTTCTGTCTCTCGCCCCCACTGACGTTCTTCCCCCGTGACCCAACAGGCGTGTCGTATCCGAGCTTCTTGAAGAGGCCGTGGTAGTTGAACTCGTCGCACAGCTCGTAGATTCGCTCCTCCTTTATCTCGTTGTCTCCTGCCTTGATGTTCTCGCAGATTGAGACGTCGAACAGCTGTGCTTCCTGTGGGACGTAGGCAATCAGCCTCCTCAGGGCAGTCATGTCGAGTGTCTGGTACTCGATTCCGTCTATCTCAAGCAGTCCGCTGTACCTGTGGAATCCAAGAAGCATCTTCAGGAAGGTCGACTTCCCACATCCATTTGTCCCAGTCACCGCAATCTTCTCGCCCTTCCTTATTTTTGCATTTGCCTCTGAAAATATCAGTTTGTGCCTGTAGGCGAAGGAGACGTCTCGTGCCTCGATGCCTCGCTCAAACGAGCCAATTGCCAGGCGGCCCTCTGTCTCCTCTGGGCTGACGCCGTCAATCAGAGACTGGTTGAAATTTGTGTAGTGGGTCACCAGTGCCGCAAACTCCCTGGATATGAACTTGATGTTTGTGTCAAGCTTCTTGACGAGACCAGCAACCACGGCCACCTTCTCGAGGGCGTCCTCCTCGCTGCTGAAGGTGGCGCCCTGGTACTCGTAGAAGATGAATATCGTAAGAAGGACGAAGAGGGCATCTGTGACGAAGTTGCCGAGTTCGAAGGTGACCCAGAAGAACTTGTTGTAGAAGTTCTGTCTCTTCTGCGCCCTGTAGTACTTCCTGAGCTCGTCGTCGATGTTCTCGTAGGCGACAATTCGCTCGTAGTTGAAGAGGACGTCGAACATCTTCTTGGCGTTCTCCTCGTTTCCCTCGTTTCCCTTCCGCCTGAGGTCGGCGCGGATCGACTGGAGGAAGCAGATGCTGAGGACGAAGAGGCCGATGCAGACGACGATCTTGAGGGCGCTGGCGGCCGGGAGGGAGGTGCAGACGTCGAGGAGGAACCAGACGACGAAAAGGAGGTTGAGGAGGAAGTGGATTGTGAGGGTGGTGAAGAACATGCTCATGGCCACAGACCGCCTTTGGACGCAGTACTGCTTCTCCCCTGTTCCAAAGCGAGTGAACTCGTAGAAGGGGATTCTGAGGATCTCGCCCAGGAAGTCGGCGTACGCCCTTCTGACGCAGTAGGAGACGAGATACGTGCTGAACATGTCGACTGCGAATTTGAAGGTGAATGCGACCAGGACGAAGAGGCTGATTTGGATCAGGGCCGCCCTGGTTGTCTCAGTGAGGTTGGCGTACGACATCGTGGTCTTGATTGCCATTATTTCAAGATAGTTTGCCAGGATCAGCAAAACAAGTGCTGGGATGAGGAGCAGTCTGATCTCCCGGAATGCCCAGACGTATCTGACGAAGTGATCTCTTAGTTTTCTCAGTGTTTGTATCATTCTATAGGGCTGTATTTTTGCTACAAATATTTTGAAACAACGAAAACACGATGGTGCCACTGCTCCTTCTCTCTGCCACTGTTGATGACTGCCACCCTCTTATCCAAATAATCCAAAAGTGCTAATTAAATAGAGTCTGATAATGATGGAGATAGGTGTAGATGACCCAGGTGGTTCATTGATCATTTTTATTTCACAGGTTGCTGAATTGTTTATGACGTAAATAAATAAAGAGGAAGAATCAAAAATTACCCTGATGGAGCAGAGGAAAATATACGCGAGTCCAAGCAGGGAGATGGCGACTACGCCAGTGAAGGGCGCATTGGTGCAGAGCAGGAACAGGCTGGAGGCATTTCTGACGCAGCTGGACAGCAATATGCGAAGAGGCAGGCGGGTGGAGCCAGGAGAGAAGAGAGGCGATTCCAGTTACGGGGATTTGTGCAGGGGTGTTGAGAACATGAAATTCTGAAGAAGAAAGGACAAAATGGGAAATTTAGCCCCAATGGTGGAGCAACAGAACACACAGGAGCAGAGTGAGACGACTGCGGCCTACAAGGACATAGTGGGGAAGCTGGAGGAAATTGAGAGGGCTTTCACGACTATCAAGACGACTCTGAGTGACCTTGAGGCCGACTTCGAGAAGCATGAGGTGGTGCCACAATAAATTTGTTCGTATCTGTCTTATTTGCATAAACATTTATGACCCCTATGGTTGAGAAGAAGGCAAAGGAAGAGAAACAGATAGAAGAGATAAAGGAGGGTGTCTCGCGGCTGTTTGAGGAGATGAAGGAGTCCATGAATGAGATTCTGGATCGACTTGTGAAGGTGCAAACGAGCATTAATGAAATCAGGAGCAAGAATGCAGAATAAATGGTCACTTTTGCCTAGATGTGTCGTAGGAGTAGACGAAGCCAGAGATGACGCCGATTCCCAGACTCAGCAGCTTCAGCGGACTCCTTGTCTCGTTGAACCAGAAGATTGCAGCCCCAGAGAGACACAGTTTGTTTGAAGCACCCAGCATCGAATACGCCGTGGAACTGAGTGTCTTGAGAGTCCATGCTGCAGAATAGGCCGTAATCAACGCAGTTGCAGAGGATGCAGCCACGAGCAACAACACCGGTGCTCTCAAATGGCTCTCTTTTACCTCTCTTTCCAGCACTGATGACAAAATGCCTAGAATTGGTATTGTCAATAAATTGGTGTAGAAAACTGACTCAATTTTCGATCTATTTTGGTCCATGAGCATTTTGAGATGGAGAACGTAGGCCGTGGTAGCAAAGATGTTCGTGGCCATCCACGCGTAGCCAACTGCGCTATTCCTTGATCCAAATTCTGCTGTCCAGGATGAACAGATCATGATCACAAATGCACCATATCCAATTGGAGAAATGCGTCTTCCAAAACAGTACTGCTCTAGCAGTGCAACCAGAATGATTGATCCATTCTTGTAGAGCGTATAGAGACTCACGTCAAAGTAGTAAAGGGCCTTCATGTTTGAGACAATCATTGCGCCCAGAAACCCAGCTGTGGGAAGCCACCTTCTTGCAGAAGATGCCTTGATTTTCTCACCAGTCTTCATCATTATGCAAAATGAAAGTGTTGCAATTACGGTCGATTGGATTGCCGTGAGCAGGAAGTGTCTTCTGAATCCGAAGCCATAGACGATCTCCTTGTTGATCAGGGACGTAAGCACAGACGAGAAGAAGTAGATGTTGGCACTGTAGAACTTATTCAATTCCATTTTGAGTGAACAGGCAAATGGTTTCAGTAGCCTATGAAACAGGAGCATATATCTCTTAGTGGCTCCTTAAAAGCAATACTACAACCACTCCTATGTCTAGCAGCGACTACTACAACCAGAAGCAGCTGAAGAAGATGGTTGACGAGATGGCTGGTCTGAAACAGAAGCACCCAAATCCAGACGAACTTGATTCGTTTCTGGGCCTGTACAAAAGATGGCTTCAGGAAAAGAATAAGAAAATTGATTGGGAGAAGATAGAGCAGCCAAGAGGAGTCATCTTCGAGTACGAGAAGTTGGAGGAGCCATCTGATCCACGGGCACTGCTGGACAAGCTGGCCGTGTTGAAGCTGAATGGTGGTCTTGGGACCACAATGGGGCTGTCTGGGCCAAAGAGTGCAATTCGCGTCAGAGACTGCGACAACTTCATTGATTTGGTCGTGGTTCAGCTCGATCACCTGAATTCGCAATATGGGACGAGTGTCCCTCTGGTGCTGATGAACAGCTTCAACACGGAGACGAGGACAAGGAAGCTGGTCAGCAAGTACGAGAACATCAAAATGTTCAAGCAGAGCCAATGGCTGAAAATCAGCGAGGAGAATCTGCTACCAATTTCACACCGTGATAAATATTATCCGCCTGGCCACGGTGACATCTTCGAGGGCCTGTGGAAGTCGGGGATGCTGGACGAGCTGCTTTCGGAGGGAAAGGAGCACCTGTTTGTGAGCAACATCGACAACCTGGCTGCCACGGTGGACTTGCGGATTCTCGAGAAAGTGGCCAAAGAGAAACTCGATTTCTGCCTGGAAGTCACCAAGAAAACCAGGGCGGATATCAAGGGCGGAACACTGATCCACTACGAGGACAAGTTGAAGCTGCTTGAGATTGCAATGGTTCCAAAGGAGCGACTTGGTGAGTTTGCGTCGGTGAAGAAGTTCAAGATCTTCAACACGAACAACGTGTGGATCAATTTGAGGGCACTGAAGGAGAGAATCAGCAGCATCAGCCTCGACATCATCACAAACAGGAAGATTGTGGGAGACGAGCACGTGATTCAGCTTGAGACGGCCATTGGGTCGGCCATCAAGTGCTTTGAGAACTCAGCCGGGTTTCTGGTTCCACGAAGTCGCTTTACGCCTGTGAAGACGTGTTCTGACCTGTTTCTGTGCATGTCGAACTTGTATAGCACGGTGAATGGGACACTTGTGGTCAACAAGAAGCGAATCAACCCAAATTCACCGATTGTGAAGCTCGTTGGATCCAACTTTGGCAAAATCAAGCGATTTAGCAGCTCGTTCAAGGACATTCCAGACATTGTGGAGCTCGATGTCCTGGCTGTGACTGGAAACGTGGTATTTGGATCAAATGTGGTTTTACGTGGAATTGTGATCATTTGTGCGCCTGATGGCGGTAGAATTGATATCCCAGATGGATCAATTCTCGAGGACAAGGTGATGTTTGGGAATCTGCCAATTACGGACTGCTGAAAGTAAATCAGAGGATGATTGTGTTCTTTAATTTGCTACAGAAAGACGCCTTTGACGGTTTGGATCAGTTCAGGGCTGTTGCTGCTGATCTTCATTCTGAGAGTGGTGTGCTTTCTGTAGGAGACGTCACCATCCAAAACAATCAGATCAGTCCCATGCATTCCAGTCATTCTGAATGAGTTGGTTTCAGCAGTGAGAAGCAGATTTGCTTTGGTTACGACCTGGGCAATTGCCTCCTCAGTGGTGCAATTCAGCTTCATTGTGATTTCTTCAGCATTTTCAGGCGTCTCTTTGATTTCAAATGGCATTGCATAATCCAATACTGTTATACAAAATGCATCAAGTTGGATTGAATCAGTTTCAACGTAGTCTACGTCATCTTCAAGTGCAATCTGATACTCAAAGACGCCATTGAACACGTCTCCAGCCTGGCAGTCTACTTCAATTGTGGCCGTATTTCTGTCATCCACCTGTGTTTCATACACCTTTTTCTCATTGCTTATTTTTAGTAGGGCAGAATTCAGCACAACTTTCTCAAGGGTGTTTTTGATTTCAAATTCAAGGGAAACTGATCCATTTTGGATTATTTTGGTGACTGAGACTGCGAAATCAGCATTTTGACTGGTGAGAAGAATTGGTCTGCATCTCTTCTCAGTGACGGCTGCTTCAACAGGCTCCTCTTCCTCCTTGATTGTCACGTACTTGAGAACTTCCTCCTTGAGATCACCCAATTCATCAAGATCAAATGGGCCCTTTTTCAGGTTGCTGTTGGATGAGAGGAAGGTGGAGAATGGGGATGCCTCTAAATGAGACAGAGTGGCAATTGTTGAGAACCTATCATCCAAATCGTACAGTGTTTGAAATGCACATGTTCTGACGTGTGTGTTATCCAGAATCAGTCTGTTGTAAACATGAATGAGATCTTTTTGTTTTGTAAGGTGTTTTCCAAGAATACCTAGGATTTCCATGGTGAGTTGGAAGTGCTCTGGATCCTCGAGATAGAAGGCAAGGAACTCGATGATGTTTTCCTTTGCTTCTCCACTCAACTTGGTGAGCACTTTTCCAATTTTATGCAACAGGTATTTTTTAAACAAGACGTCTCCTCTTTCAAGCAGCGACTTCCTCAGAAATGTGACGTATTCGTCACAAGACGTCTTTGAAAGCTTCTCCATTGTGTCGATTGCCATCTTCTTGTAGCCGTTTGACATGGAAGAGAGATATGGCTCCAATTTGAGTGCCAATTTCCTGACAGATGACTCGTCTCCTGTCCTGAGGAGTGTCACAATGGCCAACATGCTGATTGATGTGTTCGTGCTGTGAACTAAGTCTTCTATTTCTCTGTTTGCGTGTGCAACCTTATTTGGATACTTTATGCTTAATTCGCCTAGAATTTTCATAGCAGCCAATGCCCTGGTGTCATCTGATCGTAAAAGCAGCCTAATCAATTTTACCGCCTTTGGAACATGAGGGGATGCAACTTCCTGTTCAATCTGTGCCAATGATTCGCATGCTTCTAATATAATGACGTCATCCTGTTCTGGTCTGATTAAATTGATGATTGCTTGATAGTTCTTGTTTCTCAATGCCTTCCTTATTTCCATCAATCCAGAATATTTGTTGATTGGAAGTGTATTGAAAAATGATGTGTGATAATCAGCCAGATCGTGCAACACTCCTCTTTTGATCTTCATATTCTTGAAATACTCGCTACAGAGAATCACACTAGTATCTGCTGTGTTTTCATTCATCATTGCCTGTTGAAGATATTTCATGAAATCACCCAGCATTTTCTGAGGCAAATTGAGAAAGAGGCTTCTCAGACCAAGATTCTTCAGCTGTGGATTCTTGTAGCACAGTTTTGAATCAATTTCCCTAGAAATGGAATTGATTGTGATTATACCCAAATTCTCATTATATCGGTGTAGTTCAATTAGAAAGAGATACAGGTAGTTCTTAAGATACAGGTCAGTTGTATCGAATCCCTTCAGTACAATAATCAGGATGTTTTTGAGGTGTTCTTCTGTAAATTTCTGTCTTGGTAAATTGTACACAATCTGGTTCAACACCTTCACACACATCCTCGAAACCACAGGTGGCTTGCTGAATGCGTCTTGCAGCTGCGATATCAAATCAACAGGCATCGTCAGCTCCAAACTAAATGCTTGCATTTTCATGGGGTCGCAAACAAATAAAATTTTACAACTGTTACTGAATCAATGCGCATGATAAAGTGCCTGAATTTTGTTGCAGATTCCTTGGACTTGTTCCACCTTCTCTGCCTCCTTTCCACTCGCTATTCCGTTCTTGATTTCCACAATCCCATCCACTATGATCTTCTTGTTCTTCTCTTTCACGTCTACGAAGTATCCTTTCAATGCATTGATTAGTGCCTCTTTCTCTTGCATTTTAAGAAGGCGAATGCTCTTTGAGGTGTCTCCTAAGTCGTCCAATGCCTTGAAGAGTGCCATTGCCACGATATCACTGCAGTAGTCATTTTCCCATTCTATGACAACCTCATCCTTGTCACTGAAAACCAGAACATTTTCAATCTGAAACTTCCCATTCTCTTCGACTGCGTCAAAATCATTGATCAATATGCTTCGTACCAAATCAAATGTCGAATTAAATGGTATCTTCTGCCTCTGTGTGAGAGTGACCGCCATGAACTCGTTTCCAATTGCATCATCCAACTCGTAAACATCCACATCTTTACCAGTTTTGACTATCAATCCATCGAATTCAGTTTTGGCTGTATGAACCCTACAATCATTTCTGACCAGAACTGGAACACCTGCCTCTTCTCCATTTCTGAGCGTATACAACTCCATTTCAATTCCATCCTTCTCGTTCTTCGCCTGAATTGAGTTCTTCAGTCGCATCATTTCAGTTGCCTCTCCATGTACGAAAAACAGGTGATTTGGCATACAGTCGTAGATGAATTCAGCATTCTGGGTGTAGTCGACGTGGGCACTGAATGAGATGTATTCGACTGTCATGTTGAGCTTGAGCATCTGTCCACGCTGTGATTCGATTTCCTTTGGCTCTTTCAGAATCTCCTTGGCGAGTGTGCCATCTACGGAGTATCCTGCGATTATGACACCATTCTTTGAGTCACCACACCACCTTTCAAAGAGGTCGCGACTGACTCCAGACTGCAGCATTCCAGGAGATGCCATTATGACACACGATCCACCGTCTCGGACAGCCCTGGCGTCCTTGATGTTCTCTACGTTCTTGAATTCAAATGGATTTCTGGTCAGGCTGAGTCTCTGCATTCTTTCATTCATCATGTTTATGTAAGTTTGATAGATTCCCATACACTTTTTAGCCAATGCAGAAGCATAGAAAATTGGGATCTTTTTCAGGCGAGGATGCTCTTCCCAGTGCTCGTCCAGGATCAGCAGCAGCTCCTGTGCTCTTCCTAGTGCAAAAACAGGCAGGAGACACTTTCCGCCTCTTTCTACCACATCCGTGACCACTTTGATGAATCGCGCCTCTCTTTCCACCCTGGGAAGGTGACACTGTGTTCCGTAGGTGCTTTCAGTCACCAGAATGTCCATCTTGCATCCTGGTGACTCCGCACTTTTCAGGTGCCTGTCATCTTCTTTGCTGAAATCACCAGTGTACAGCAATTTTGTTTGTTCTATTTCAAGCATAAACATTGCTGCCCCTAAAACGTGACCTGCATTGAACGCAGTCATTTTCACTCCTTCTAACACCTCTATGACCTGATGGTAATCGATTGGTGTTATTTTGTTATAGCAGTTCTCTAGATCCTTTTCTGTGTAGAAATCCTCATCTGAATTTGAGTTTATAATTCTTATGTAGTCGTTGAGAAGCCATCTCAAAATTGCCTTGGTTGGGTGAGTCATGAACACTTTCCCTCTGAAATTCGTCTTCTCCGTCAGAAAGGGCAATGCAGCAGCGTGGTCCAAGTGAAAGTGTGTGATGAAGACAGCGTCTATTTCTTCCAAATTCACCAAATCGAGAAATGGTAACGAAGAGACGCCTGTATGAGCAGGATGGACACCACAGTCCATTAGGAACTGCATGTTTTGATATTTGATGTGCAGACAGCTTCTTCCGACTTCAGCACCAGCTCCAAGTGGTTTTATGAAGATTTGTTCGTTGTATGGCATTTATGGGATAAAATTCAGATTATTGCATATTTTTCAGAATAAATCCGCATATTGGAATTGCTACTGGGCCAAGTGTGCTAGCAACCATCTTAAACGAGTATTTGTAGAAGTGTTTGAGTGGTCTAAACTTCATATTGGCTACTATGTGTTTCAGGCTAGCAGTATTCAACTCAAAAATATCAATATTATTGCTAAGTTGGTTTGTTTCTGTTAACATTTCGTAATTGTTGATGATAATTTTCAATAATACCAGGTTATCATCTACTATTGCATCGTATAATAGGTTGAATCTCTTCATTAGTTCATCTGTTTTGTTTCTTACTATAAGTAGGTGTCCAAAGTGTGCTATTATACACATTATTGTAATAAATATTACTTTTACCTTGATAATGTGCATGGGCTATGTAAACAAAAACAATTCTGAATTTATTCATTTGAGTCACTTAACAAACCTGATTCATTCGGACCAGTGTTGTTTTTGGCCAATTTGCCTGTTTTCTTCTTCTTATTCTTGAACAAGCCCTCTGCCATCAGTTTCTTGATTGGTTTACCGATTTTTCTACTCTTCTTTTTTGTTGTCTTTGCTGATATCTCATTCTTGATCACCACAGTTTCATCAGCATCTTCATATACAATATTTGATGTATTTTCAATGGAATTGCTTTGTTTTAGATTTGATGCTCCGGAATTCTGCTCTATGGTCAGGTTAATGAGTGATGTGCGTATTTTACCGTGTTTATTGTCTTCATCAATGATCATGGAATCTCCTGGCATTTCCATTGTGTGATCAGATGTGCTAACATTCACGTTCTCTACGTTATTGGTTGCTATATCGTGCATAATGGACGTGTTTCTGATCAATTTTTGATCATTTTCATCTTCTACTATCTTATCAATGAAACTCAGGTTGGATTGATCATTCTTCTCAATGGGATCATCTTTGACAGTGTGTTTCTCAAGTGCATTTTGTACATCGATCACTGAATTGTTGAATTCTTCAATCCGACTGTCAATGAAGTTTCCTCGCGTATGCGCTGATCCACACGTTCCGAATTTTGGTTTATCTGATACGGCAGTGCGTATTTTTGTCATTTTTGCTAAATCAATTGATGTTGCCTTATTCTTCTTAAACAAATTGAGTTTGATTCTCAAATCCAAATCCTCCTTATTTTTGTATTCTTGAATGTATTTGGTAATGTTTTGTGTTGATGTTGAGAAGTCATACTTTTTGGTTTTCATACGCTTGTTGCTGATTGGTATCTTCGTTTTAACTGTTTCTTTCTCTTTCTTTACCTCTTCAACTTGTATTAGTTTCTTCTCAGGTTCATCTTCTATTTTTTCTTCTGTGTATTTCAACTGCTTGATTCGTTTCGCAACTGCCCTAACTTCTACTGCTGCATCACTTGTGCCTCTTTCTACAACTTCGCTATACACATTTTCATTCCCAGCGTACTTTATCTCAATTATTTTGTACACGATTTCTCTCACCTTTTTGTTTGTGCTAGTTAATGCGTATAAAAGTGTTTTGTAAATTGTTTTGTTTGATATCACCTTGCATAAAGTAGTCAGGCATTTTTCAGCTCTCTCCCTGAATATCTTGTTTGACTTGTTTGCAATCTTAAGCAGTACACCAACGTATTTCGTGTAGTTGTGATCTGGTTTTAGTTGTATGCAGTGCTCTAGGAATTCTACACATGTGCCATTCAGTCTACTTCTCTCAGAAAACAGTGACCTTTCCAATAGATTATCAAAATGGTCAAAGAAGTCACTGACATCTTCCTTAGTTTTGAATTCACTCTTTATGTTAATAAACAGTGTGTTTATTCTGCTCCATGTCACTTCATCCTCTTTCTTCTCAATCAGAGTCCCTGCTTCTTTTTTATATTTTTGCATGGGTTGAAAATAAACACATCTTCTTTCTTTTGAATTTATTCATTAAAGGCCCAGCCACTTGCGAATGTCAAATGGAAAGTTGTTAAATTCCATTCTAAATGCTTCAAAATTGGTCCAGATGTTGTTCTGGTTATCAACAATCTCCAAAATATATCCTTGGTCTTTCTTAAACACAGATGTTGTATAGAACTCGTACTTACCTGAAGAACGAGATTTCTTTGTCTTATAGTAGAGTCTCATTCCTTTATAGTTGATACAATTTGCTAGAAATGGTCTGGTATGTCCAATTCCCTTGGGTAGATTCGCATTGGGCTTGTTTAGAATGATCACAGCACCATTTTTGATATTTGCTGATGTGTGAATTGGTTGTGTTTTATCTACCACAGGTGTAATGAAATGGTCAGTGTTTGATCCTGAAAGAGCCTTTACCAGTGTTCTCTTGTGTGCGAATATGTTCATCGATCTCTTTTCGATGTCTTTTGAACGCATTTCGAGACTTTTGTGTTCTTCCAACAATTTCTTCAACTCTTCGTCCATGGCCAAAATTATCGTTCGAAAATTATTTCGTAGCTTCCGCTTCTCTTCTTTTGCACTCGTGTCCCTATCATATTCTGATACCTGAATCCCATTCTCACTCTTGACTCCTTAATGATTGTTCCTATTGATTTATAATGATTTATGCATATTATTGTACAGGATGTTTCATACACCAAACTCCACAATTCACATACAATTTCCTTGATATAAAATGGTTCAGTATCACACACAAATACAATTGAATCTATCACCAATATGAAATCTCTCTTGTTTCTCAAGTTATTAAGTGTTTTAATCAGGTTCGTTAACGAATAAATGGCTTCTATTCTTGATATGTTCATTCTTGTTCTGTTTGATTCCACACTAGTTTCAACTAACCCAAAGTCAGTCTCATCAAAGTTCTCTGGTACTGTGTCATTCACATCTGTTAGATTTGACTTCATTGAAATATTTCCCAATGTATCGAATACAACCACTTCCTCATCGTAAATTATCTCATTCAGCATTTCCAAGACATTCGTAGTTGAATAAACCACTAAATCTATTACAGTTTCTTTTTGAAGAACAGTTCCATCAATGGATATCATCCAGGGGCATAAAAAATTCCCTCAACGGGAATCGAACCCGCATCTCAACAGCCACAACGTTACGCTCTACCACTAAGCTATGAAGGACAAATATAACAAAATGCTGCTGTATAAACAACTTCCTCCACTTTGTTTCCCTTCTGGTAATACCCCATGAAAACAATCCAAACCGAAACAGAGAGCAAAGACGAACAGAAGTGCCAAATCCACATCAACACGAGGGATACAAACCAGAAGAACAAGATGGTGATACCAGCACAAACCAAATCCAAGGTAAAGCGGATATTTGAGATGATTGTTTGTAAACCACAGGTTGATGTCTCTGATATTGAGGATAACTGAAAGTGTGTTAAATGTAAATAACCGTGCTACTTGCTTCGTTTGAATCTTCTGCTTTTGCTTCTCTTGAACATCCCATCTCCCGTACTGTATTTGTTTATTTCTTCTAATAACTTGTCTCGTAGTTCCCTCTTCTTCAATTTCTCCACGTATTTTTGCTTGTTTTCTTCTTCTCTCTTTTTACTCTTTTTTATTCTCATTTTATGCAATAATTGGGTCATTCTCTACAACTTTTTAATCTGATTTCTAGCACAGCTTTTCTTCTTGTCTGATATACTCACCGGTATCTGCTTGAACCAGAACAACAATATCACCGCTCCTGGCTTTCTGGTAACTCGTGGGACACAGTGCCATCAAACCAAATCCAAGTGGTGTATCCTTCTTGTTATAGACGAATACACCTGCATTCATAGGAATATTCTCTGATACTCTTCCTACGTGACTCTTCAGTGCATTGTTACCGTATAGAAAGTTGTTCTCACCATTGTCCTGTAGCCATACCTTATGTAACCCATACTTTGCCATTCCTTGCATTCCTGTTATTGTAATTTTAAAGTTGTCTGTTTTAGTGAATTTGCCTAGAACCCGGCCTACAGAAATCAGCTGTTTCTTGCTAATTTGAGAACATTTCTTATACAAATTTCTATCGGACAGGAATACACGAGACTGGTTTAGCATCAGCACGTTCTCCTTCAGCATTGCATCCAGATTGTCTCCTACGAATATTCGCAGCTTCTTGAACACTTTTTCTCGTTCTTCTTCTTTAAGTTCTCTCATCTAATTTTGGGTCATTAAAAAGCATTTGAACTGATTGCAAATGGTAACCTGGGCTTATGATGATGTGTTTATATTCCATACAATCCCGCTGCTTCTAAATAGACAGATATTTCTGCAATTCGTCTAAACAATTTTTTATCAAATTTTGACCCAAATGTGTCAGAAGCAAAAGGCATCCAGAAGACTACGAGGAAAAGTGTCACATGGATACGGTAGAACCAACAAACACAGAAAACACTCTGGTGGAAGAGGAAAGTGTGGTGCATTCAAGTTCATGAAGACTTGGTACATGAGGTATCACCCAGACTTCTTTGGAAAGAAAGGAATGAACATCTACCACGTCAAGAAGAACGCAGAATGGGCTAGATGGATGCCACTCTCACGCGTATGGGGTCTCATTCCAGAACAGCAAAGGAAGGAGCTCATTAATGGAGAGGGTGTGCCTGTGATAGATGCACGCGAGTTTGGATATCACGTGATTATTGGTGGCGAACTCCCGCTGAATAGACCAGTAGTGGTTAAGGCAAGGCACTTTACGCCAGCAGCCGTGACTGAAATCGAGAGCAAAGGTGGTAGAGCCATTATCGTTGACTAAATTAAATAGCTTCATTATGCACATGTTAAGCATAACTCTTGTTTTTTAACCCTTGAAAATGAAAGAGGATTTTCAAAATGGAACGAATAATTTAACAAGTGGATTAGATGCTGATAAAAGTGCTAAAGAAATATCGCACTGGCACGTTGTGACCAAGAACCTGAACAATGCAACAATTAAAATACATGACAGCCTAAAGAAGATTGATAGATGGATTTGCATAATGGGACTCTGTGGTGGTAAAGAAATCATGACATCTGTAATCAAACGAAGGTTGCATAGCAGACTGATTGGTACCAAGAACTCGCTCTATTTCCTGAATGATCCAAGTGAGGTTGCTGATCACGAGCTTCCTAACAATCTTGAACGTGTATTTTTGGAGGGATTCCCAGAAGATTGGGAAGAAAGAGTCTATGAGACACTGTTTGGTAGTGAAAAGGATTCAGTCAGCAAAACCAGAAGAAAACCAATCATCAAGAAGCAGAAACAACTTAAGAGTAAGAAAGATGCAGTAGCCAAACAGGAGACGAGCAAAATTAAAACGAATCAATATGAACTGATCAAGCAACTTCGTGAAGAGGAAACAGCCAAGGATGAGCTCACACACAAAAATGAGACATTGATTGGAATCACCATGAAGAACATCAAGCAACCCAGTAATCCAGAGAGAAAGGTTTCCCTTAGAAGTGCAGTAGTCAGTTTGGAACAGCCTGTAAATGATACCACCACACCAGTGAAGTCCTGTTTAGTTAGAAAAAGAGGAAGACCAAAACAAGGCAACAAAGTCGAATACGTCCTGGATAATGGGAAACCAAGCACCACTGAAATCATAGAGAAATACAGAAGAATGAGCACAGAGAAGACTGAAAATGCGAAGAAGGACGAAACACCAGACAGCCCTAAGAAACAAAGAAGGAAGAAAACAAGACGCCTTCTAAAGAAGCCAAAATAAAACCAATAATATTCAATCAATTGATCAAATCCTTTCTGATGCTCTTTGCTCTCTCCAATATCACATCTGGTACTCCTGCTAGCTTTGCAACATAAATTCCATGTGATTCTTCAGACACACCTTCTTCTATTTTGTATAGGAATATTATTTGGTCATTTTCAATTGTGTATTGCACTGAATATTTGTGAACTGATTCCACTAATTTGACCAATGAATGATAGTGTGTTGAAAATAGCACCGTACATTGCTTCCTTTTAAGGTGTTCCAATACAGCCCTGGCAATTGCAGTTCCATCTCTGGTGCTTGTTCCACGACCTAACTCATCCATAATCACAAATGACCGTTCTGTTGCATTCTGTAGCACCTTTGAACATTCGTTCATTTCCACCATGAAAGTTGACTCGTTTTTGGCTAATGAATCAGATGCACCGATTCTGGTGAATATTTGATCAAAGACAGGCAGTCTGAGCAAGGAGCATGCGACATTCAGGCCCATCTGAGCCAGAATGATGTTCAGGCAGACAGATCTGAGAAATGTGGATTTTCCTCCCATGTTTGGACCAGTGAGAAGCACCACTGGGTGAATTGGCTTGAAATCATTTTCGATGAATTCGGTGTAAATTGGACTGGTCATCGATTCAATTTGAATTGGACCATTTTCAATGAAAACAGGTCGACTGAATGATGGATTGGCTCTATTGAACAGGTGAAATGAGAGGGAGCAATCAAATGTAGCGAGATAATCAATCAGCTCATTGATGAGTAGAAAGTCAGTGTTGAACAAGCTGACTGCTCTACTGAGCACCGTGTTACTTGATTGAAATATCAGTTCGTCGATTTCTTTGTATTTTTGAACCAATTTGGTTGTTGATTTGGTGAAGAACCTGATGGCATTTTTTGTCTTTGAAAATATCTCAAGTTCACTTTTGTGTTTGGTTGGAATCCACTCAAATGCATCCATTTCAACCTCAATTTGGAAAATATCCTTCATTTTGTGTACGAATTTGGTAGGAATTTTGAATTCTTCTTCAAACTTCTTTCTCTCATTTTCCAATTGATTCTCTATTTCTACCCTCTCAGCAACATGTGTGAACAATTCATCTGATTCATTGACTGGTTCAATTGCATCATCTGTCACTTTATAACTCAATGTAAATGCATCCAGTTTATCAGTGAGATTCTTGATGAAATAGTCAGGTTTAAAGATTCCAAGAGTGTCTTTTTCACCGATGAATCTGAGTAATTCCACTGTTTTAGTCAGTTTGTTGATAAACTGCCTTAGATTATCCAAAGTGACCTTCTTTTGCTTTAGTCTACAACCGAGTCTCTCAAGGTCTCCAAGTTCTCTGAGTTTCATCACCAAAACAGTCGTGTCGTAACAACCCATTGCATCTGAATGTCTTCTTCTCTCTTCAATCAATTTCTGATTTGTTAACGGAGATAAAATCCACCTGTGCAATTTTCTGGATCCAAATGGCGTGGAACAGTGATTGATTTTCTCAATCAAACTGTATTTAGCAGTCTTATCAAAGTTGTTAACTAGCAAATCCATATTCTGAATTGTTGCAGCATCCAATTGCATGACATTTGACTCTTTTGTGATTGTATTCAGGGTAGCTGATTCAAAAACACCTTCTCGTTTGAGAATCTTGAAATATTCAAAGAGAACTTCAAAGCAGTCTTGTTCTGCCATATGATCAAATTTGAATTTGTGGTCGTAATTCGCCTCTGATCTGGAAACTTGGGTTATTTTCGACTGAATCCATTTCAGGTTCACGCAATTCGTCAGAATTTCTCTGATTTCATTCTGTGCAAAGATTGTTCTGATTTTATCCATGTTGAAGTTGTCACAAACTGATTTGGAATAGAGGGTGTTAACAGATGCGTCGTAGAGCAGAACTGAGTAGTGATAGTCACCTGAACACGTCTCTGGGCTGTGACACAATGCATTGGAGAGTAGCACCGCAATATAAAATGGAAGTGGTGAGTTCATGTGATCACAATTGTAAACAGTTGCAGGCGTAACAACTTCAGTCAGGAATCTCTGAAGGACTTTCTCTTTTTTGGCACTCGTCTTCTTTTCACGCATCTTCTTAGCCAGCGAGTTTTCTCGTTCATCAACACGTGCCACTTTGTAGCCTGCATTCAGAAACTTATGTGCCCATACGTCATACGTGTGAATAGGCACGCCTGCCATTCTCATATACGCCCTTTCAACTACGCGTAAATCAAACAGCTTTCTGCCTAAATCTGCATCGTTCTCATACAACTCATAAAAGTTTCCTTTCTTGAAGAACAAGACTGTATCAAATAATCCACGTTTGATTTCCCAAAACTGTCTTTCAAATGGCGTGAATGTCTTCATAGCATCTTCTGGAACATAGAGAGTTGTTGGATCGTATCCATCGTCACCTTGATTTACACCATTTTTATCTTTTGGATTCGTCAAAAATGAATAGCGAGCACCTGATGGTTCTTCGGTATTATCATTGCTAGTTATCAGATATGAATAGTGGCTGTGTGATACTGGGGATGTTACTTGGTCCTCTGTTTTTGGTGTATTTTCGATGTTTTCAACATTGATGAATGTTTCTTCAATTAAGCTTCCTTCACTAAAATTGCTTGGCTCACTTTTATCAAACTGACTTGTCATGGTATCACCAATTGAGTACATGTATTTGAATTGGTCCTCCATCGTCCTTGATAGATCTATCTTGCCACTTTTCACGTCTTCTTTACGCTTCTTTGCTGCTTCCCTGATCATCTCATTTTTATTCTGCTTCTTCTTATGCATAAAGGGAATAAATTTCTCAATATAACCGAAATAAGCTTAATTGGATGCATAATACTGTAAGAAGATGCAAAACCAATAACTGCATTTAACTATTAGATGTCTTCTTGTCACTTCTCATACATCAAGAGGAATGAAAACACATATTAAACACCTTAAACATATTGATGTCCTTGTCCCTGACAACAAAGTGGAAACACAAGCCCGATGAATGAATCAAGTTCTTTAAATTTGTTTGTGATAAAATATTTGAGCATGAAAATGCCCTTATGAAGAAAACTTCAACAGTGAAGAAAGATGGAGTATACACAAGTGCACTGTATGAGCAATGTATGGAACGTATCAAGACAAATCCAAAGACGCTATTTGAGCTTTTAACTGCGAGACTTAGCGCCTTCCCCAAAAAGGACCTATACGGTTCTATTAAGGATGAAAAAGTTTTATACGAATCAACAGAAGAAATATTTAAGAAAATCAAGAAAATGGCAGCATTTCTAGGGCAAATCTCATCTAACAATGATTTCATCGGAATATACGCGGTCAATAGGACTGAATGGTGTATCACAGAATACGCAGGTTATGCTGTGAACTGCCCAAATGTGCCACTTTATTCTACATTCCAGGCAGAAGCAATTAAGTACGTGCTAGAGGAAACTAAGATGCGGATTCTCTTTGCATCGGATGTGAAAGCAAGGAATCTCTACGAAACAGTGTTGAAAGGAGCGAAGAAGGTCAATCTTAAACACCTGATTCTCTATGATGATGATCAAGAATTGAGAAATAAGTTCATGAAACTTGGTATAAAAGTGCATAGTTTCAGCAAAATACTGTCAGAGCCAAGTAGAATTGAGAGCAGTGAGACAAATAGCAAGAGAAGAAGAGCCAAACCAGATGACATTGCAACAATATGTTACACAAGTGGCACTTCTGGAATGCCAAAGGGTGTTGTTCTCACACATGCTGGTTTCTGTGCCCATGTTGCTGGCTTCTGTGTTGGATACGATGCGAATATCTACATGTCCAAGGAGAGTGAAATTGCGTACATTTCGTATCTGCCACTTGCTCACATCCTTGAGCGAATTGTGATCACGGTGGTGATTTCCATAGGCGGGAAAGCAGCCTTTTTCAGGGGCAATCCAAAAACGATACAAAAAGACTACGAAATCATTCGACCAAACTTCATTGCGGCCGTTCCACGTGTCATGAACCTGTTTGAACAGAAAATCAACGAAGAGGTGTCGAAACTCGGCTGGTTCAAGAAACTCGTTTTCAAACTTTGTCTCTGGTACAAAAAGCGCAAGGTTGCGAAAGGCCAGTACAAAAGTTGGCTCGTGGACATGCTCGTGTTCAACAAGGTGAGAGCTAAGTTTGGTGGCAACTTGGAATACTGTCTCTGTGGAGGTGCTTCAATCAATCCAGAAGTCGTGAAATATCTTCAGGCTGTTTTATGCATGGGAATATTTCAAGGCTACGGATTGACTGAAGGACTTGCTGCAAACATCGTGCAACCAACGTCGTGTACGCGACTTGATACGGTTGGTGTTCCATTTCCGTCTTGTAGAATCATTCTCTCGCCTACTGAAGAGTACACAGAGGAAGATTGTGGCGAACTGCTTCTAAACGGACCATCAATTACAAAAGGCTACTACAATCAGCCAGAAAAGACAAAGGAGGCCTTTACAGAGATCAATGGCGAACAGTGGCTGAAAACAGGTGACGTCTTCAAATTCAAGGATGATCGATTCTTCTGTATAGGACGAGTGAAAGAGATGCTCAAGACATCGTATGGAGAGTATATTGTACCAGAACGTGTTGAAAGCGTGTTTCTGGGTGGACCAATTACAGATATTTTTGTTACAGGTACAAAATACTCTGATAATCTGATTGCAATTGTTCAGACTGAGGATGAAGAATACAAGAGTGAAGAGAAGATGTTGAGGTATCTGAAGGAGAAAGGTGCTGAATTGTGCGTAAAAAGGAAAATTAACAAGTATGAAGTGCCAGTTGCAGTGATTGTGATCACAGAATCACTGTTATCTCTCCAAGATGGTAACTTGATTACACCATCATTTAAGAAAAGAAGAAACAGAATCTATAAGTATTTTGAGAAGGAGATCGACCAGAAAATGAGTAAGTGAGTTGGAATAAATTAATTTAAGCAAGATATTTTGGAACCTGAAATAGAATGGAAGAAAGTAGTACGAAAAAGGAATTTGAAGAATATGCGAAAGAGAGATATTCAAAGCAAATGAATGGGATGTATTTAGTGAAGAATAAAGAGCACAATGAATATAGAAATTACGGAAGGAAGATAGATGGCGAACTATATCTCAATTTTGTAGAAATACTTCACATTTTTTGCATGAAATTTCTGCAAAATGACGTAAACAATAAAATGAGAGTGAAAGAGGTGTTGAAAGAATTGGATTGTGGTGGCAACATGGATATTCTGGCATATTTTGAATTGAAGAATCTAAAATACAACATTCTTGAGGAAAATGGAGTACCGAACCTATTCACTAAAGTAGCAGATTTCAATAGAAAAACAGCAAAAGGTATTGCTGAGATTCGTTTCGTAAAGAAGAACGATCGTGTTACACTTGCAAATAAGAGTGTTGTAGATGCAATAACAGGAGATGATGTATTCACCTTTCTCAAATTCACACCAGTTGATGAATTGGACAAGGTAACTGAAGAATATCTCTATAAGAAGGAGAAAATGTAGTGGTGAATTTGTTTGTTTCAATTTTGTGATATTTATGCCCTAAAATGGAAGATGAAAAGTTAGAGGTTTCTTACAAACCAATAATTGAGGAAAAAGGCATTTTCTGTCACTTATTAAGCATTAAAACAGGAAATGAGACAGTTAACATTGTTGTGGATACAGGAATAGGAGGAGATTTCGACTATTCAATATATACAGAAGAAGTAAGGGAAATTATAAACCAGGCAGACTGTATCCTGCTTACATCATTTGATCAACAGCATTTTGGTGCAATTGGTCTCTTCAAAAAGCAGGTTATTTATTGCACTGTACCAACAGCAATTCTAGGGAAGCTGTTATTGGACAATGCCAGTGAAAAAGCAAAATGCATCGGATACCAAATAGAAAGTCAAGTTGAATTCAACATGGTCAAATACGCGCAACCATTCACGATAAAAGACGTGGAAATATGTGGATTCAACTGTGGAAATATAATAGGAAATGCATTGTATAGGTTAAAGGTGGGAGGAAAAACAGTATCCGTAGGATATGATCTCAACTATAAAAATGAGAATTCGATTGAAGGGTTCTCTGATTACTACACATCTGACGTATTTATTACGAATACAAGCTATGCAGAATGCAAAGACGAGCTGATTCAGGTCAAAAACGAATTCTACAAGCAGTTGATAAGAGGCGTGAAAAACACCATCTTGTTTGTTGTGAATGCAGCACGACTAATCGAATTGTTGCTTACAATAGGAGAAACAGCATGCGTAGTGACAAACATCAACCTGATGGATCGAGTTAAGTCAATGATTGAGTGGACTGGTGTTGCTGGAAGTGAGGTTGTTGAATTTGATGCTTTCTTTTGTAAAATTGAACAAATTAACAAGAGGTGTGTTGTAATAATAAGCGACTTCATGAATGATCTGTATATTGGAGCAGTTGCCAACAAGTTCAGCAATATTGATGTCATTTATTTGAATCAGAATACGACAAAAAAGGAGATTCAGGTTCCATTGTACAATATTTCGTACAAAGTAACCAAAGTGGAACAAGAGGCGGAAACAGAGGAGAGTGAGAGTCTTCATGAAATTCAAAATGCCAATTTGCAGTGGTATGAGAGAGGTAATACTGTTTTTGTAGACAAATCAAGTGGTAGAAATTTCAGATTCAGGAAAATGAGTAGAAAAATAGCAGATTCACCTTATGGGGAAATTGTGAAGTTTGAATTCAGCAAAATGAAGCAACTGGTCAATGAGATCAAAGAAATAGAAGAAAAGGAAATTGTGACTGAGGAGATAACCAAAGTGGACAAAGAGGTGACAATCAAAAACATCTCACATGGAGTATTCGTAGGCACATCCTCCTTGAATGGATTAGTGAACATTTTGGATGAAATGGGTGTACAGAAATTACTCATTGTGGAAGACAACCTGATCAATTCTAGGATAATGCAGAGCTATTTGGGAATCAATAGGAATGAAATGAGCGTGTTGGTGGCAAATGAAACGAATCGATTTCAGTTAAGCACTGTTGGATATAAAACACACAATATCAGTGAAGATTCAAAAATACAGTACACATTTGTGAACAATAGGCAGATTGCATTCAATAAGGTGAAGATTGATGAGAGTGGAATTGTTGTGAATGACTTTGAATTCAATAAGAGATGTTGCATAACAGATGCAACTTTAGTAGAAATCAAGAAAGTGTTCATTGAAACAGGTAGTAGCGTAGAGGAGAATGAGAATGGCTTAGTTTTAGATGGAAGGTGCTTGCTTCGAGTAACAGATGGGAATTGGGATGTGGTTTGTGATGATGTTGCTGTTTTGTGTTATGTACGAGAATTGCTTTACAAAAAGTGCACCGTAACAAAATGACAAAATTTTAGACCAGCAATGACGTCAATGTTCAAAAACAAATACGATGAGAATGATAGGGAACACCGTGTCATCAACGATGATTGGTTGTTGGAGAGTTATGTCATGCCAACTAGAACTGAATATCAGAGTGTTCATCCACATGGAAATTTTGATATTTTCATGAAAAAGTTCCTTACGGATGGAATTCTTCAGGCATTCAAAAGATTCTCAAGTAGAGAATGGTTCAAGAAGAGGTATTTAAAGAATGATGAGATCAAGAACGTGACTGAAGCAGATATTGGACTGCATGTTGATGATACATCATTCTACAGACAGGTCATTCTCAAATCTGATGGCTACTGGTATTATATTCTTGGTGATAATAGGAATACAAATCAAGATGATGAAATCAAGAGATTTGCTGAAACAGAAGGTATTCTGAATGTGTTTGTAAAGCAGAGCGATGAAAGCAATAAGTTTGTGAAAGATTTCCTGATTCGAACAGACAGGGAAATGGTGTTGTCCAATTCAAAGACAGTGGCACTCAACTCGTTTGAAGAGACCTACAAAACAGGAATAGGCGAGTTACAGAAAATAGCACGAGTTCTGGCTAAAATGTACAAAAAGGAGGAATTGATTGAAAGAATCAATGTGACGGACTCTGTGGTTGAATTAACAAGAATATTGAGAAGAGAGATGTTGTTCTGTACAACTTGCTGTACCAAGAGTGACACACTCATTGAAATGTATGATAGGTGCTCCATGCATAATAGCAGAAGTTTCAGCAAAAGATACCTGGAACTAATCAGCATGCTCGATGGATACGATTTCAATGGAGTTGATTACGATATTAAGAAGCGCAGTCTATCAAAATACGTGACTGAGGCACGTGGTGAATTTGAGTGCAATGAATGCAGAAAGAAGTTTGTGAGTTTAGAAGCCATCGAGACACATTTTGAAAACAAACATGCAACGATTCACGAAGCCATTGGAAACAACGTGAAGGAGTTTGGTGAATTTGTAGCAAATTTGGACTTATTTATGTTGGATTGGATTGAACAGACTTCAAAGAACAAAAAGAGGCCCAAGTGGAGTTACAAGAAGCTACCGCTGAACACAGTAAAGTACGACATCAAGGATTACTACTAGAATGGTTAAACTACAATAGTCAATTTGTATTTGTTTTCATACAACCCATGCCTATCGTCCGTTCTACAGCAAACAGGAGAAATAAGCGAACAGCAACCACATTTGTTTCAGAGGAAATGATGGCTGAGATACAGAAAGGTTTAAGGGAACCTGGAACTCTTTCTGCTCCAGTTGAGTTGATGAATAACAAAGGAGACGTACAGGAAACCAAAATAGAGCATAAGGAAGAACATAATAACGTGAAGAGTATTGTTTCAGTCTATGAGAAATTGACTGAGATTAAGGTTCCAGAAATGAGAGTAGTTCAGAAGGTGCCAAAAATGGAAATTGGTAAAAGAAACACGAGTGTGCTTGAGGCATTGGCAAGAGTGAAGATTGGGAGCAGAACTGAACATATTGAGAAGAAAAGAGCAGAACCAAGCAATCTATTTACCAATAACCCATTTCTGATGTTCGATCGCAATGTAATACGAAAAAACAAGTCAATTGATAAGCACAAAAATGACTATTTTAAATACTAATGCGCATAATATACAATAAGGTTAAATTTGCATGAAATTATGCAAACTTTTGACCCACATGAATGGAGCATTCCGCAATTCAGTCTATTGCAAGGAATTGTGCAGTTATACGGAGGAGTTTGGCCTGAAGTACGTTGATTTGGAGCTGTATTTCACGAAGATTGAAAATGGCCTAGCTCAGGAGATGACTGAGGATGAGCTAGTCGTATTTTGCAGTGAGGTTGCTGCATCCATGATAACGATGCACACTGACTACAACAAGCTCGCATCTGTCATTATGATCAGGAACCATCACAAAAACACGTCTGGCTCATTCTCAGAGAAGTTCCTGAGACTTCAGAAAGCAAATGGAAATTTCCAGGACAAAATGGTTGAAATTGTCACGAGACTCAAAGACAAGATCGATTCAATCGTTGACTATAGCAGAGACTACAACTTTGATTATTTTGGGTTTCTCTCACTCAGAAAGACGTACCTGATGAAAATCGATAACAAAATTGTTGAAAGCCCACAGGACGTCTACATGCGCCTGTCTCTTCAAATTCACCAGGACGACCTTGATGGAATCAAAGAGACGTACATGTTGCTGGCTCAACAATACTACACACATGCAACACCATCACTCTACAACAGCTGTTGCAAACTGAATCAGATGGCTTCTTGTTTTCTACTAGCAATTAAAGATGACTCAGTTGAAGGAATCTTTGAGACAATTCTGGAGGCAGCCACTATCCGAAAAGTGAGTGGTGGCCTAGGAATAAATATGACAACATTGCGATGCAATCACAGCAAACTGAAGACGACTGGTGGAGAATCAAAGGGAATCATTCCAATAATCAAGCTCATTTCTGATTCAGTGAAATACCTGAATAAGAACGAGGCCAAAAGAAGCTCAGCCTGTGCATTCTATCTTGAGCCATGGCACAAGGACGTCTTTGACTTCCTAGACATCCGCAAGAACACAGGCAACGAGGAGAATCGTGCTAGAGACTCATTCACTGCACTATGGATCAATGACATCTTTATGCGCAGAGTTGAAAGTGGTGCAAATTGGTCACTTTTTGATCCAAAGGAGGCCATTGGTCTCGTCGATGCCTACGGTGACGATTTCACCAAACTGTACGAGCACTACGAGACTGTTCTAGAACACAGGTCCATTCCTGCCCAGACACTCTGGCGTGAAATCATCTGTGCCCAAATTGAGACTGGTACGCCCTACATGCTGTACAAAGACGCCTGTAACAGAAACAGCAACCAGAACAACCTTGGAACCATCAAATGCTCCAATCTCTGTGGTGAGATCCTTGAATACTCAGATAGCAGCACCACGGCTGTCTGTAACCTGGCATCGATTTGTCTTCCAAAATTCGTCAAGGAGTCCCCAAGTGGAACGAGATTCTTTGATTTCCACCTTCTTCACCGTGTTGCCAGAATAGTCGCCAGAAACCTGAATAGTCTGATTGATACGTCACATTATCCAACAGAAACAACCAGGAAGTCGAATATGGAGACCAGGCCACTTGGAATTGGAATTCAGGGACTCGCTGACACATTCTTCATGATGAAATACCCGTATGAATCTGAGGATGCATCGAAATTGAATCGGGTGATTTTTGAGACGATCTACCACGCTGCAATCGAGGTCTCGTGCGACCTGTCTCTTTTCTCTGGGCCGTATCCAGCATTCAGTGGCTCCTTCTACTCCCAGGGCGTATTCCATTTTGAAAAATACAAGCCAGCTGGAGTTGAACTCTCTGGTCTCTGGAATTGGGATGAACTCAGAAAGGGCGTAATTCAATTTGGATTGAGAAACTCGCTATTTACGGCGTGCATGCCCACAGCAACCACTGCCCAAATCTGTGGAAACAGCGAGTGCATGGAGCCAATTCAGTCGAACATCTTCACAAGACGAACATTTGCAGGTGATTTCCAGGTCGTGAATCGATTTCTGATGGATGATCTGATTCGATTGGGACTGTGGTCGAATGAGATGAGGCAGCTGATTATCGAGTACGATGGATCCATCCAGTCGATTCCTGTGATTCCTGATCAAATCAAACAGCTCTACAAGACAGTTTGGGAGATCAAAATGAAGCGTGTTCTGGAAATGGCTGATGACAGACAGGCGTTCCTTGATCAGACACAGTCATTGAATCTCTTCGTAAAGCAGCCAACTTACGGAATACTCAGCTCAATGCACTTCTACGGCTGGAAACTTGGCCTCAAAACAGGAATGTACTACCTGAGAACATGTCCAGTGGCATCAGCCATCAAGTTTACGGTTGATAAGGAGCTCATAACGAAGGCAATCAGCTCAATGAAGGAGGAGGAAGAGTGCGAGGACTGCACGTGCTAGCACTTTTGTTGTCTAGCACTTTATTTCCTGTTTGCCTCTCTCTTTTTGTAGTTTGAAATGGCCAATTCCACGTCTCGTGGATTGAGCTGTTTTGTACCACGACGAGCTGAAATGGCACAGGCCTCGTTTACAATCGCATGCATCGCATTGTCCAATTCCATTGCAACAAATTCAACGTTGCTTAGAATCGGATGCATCTTCACATCCTGGTTGATTTCGAAGACGTCTTCAATTGGCGTCCTGTTTGATTTGTTTCGTTCCACGGCGTAGGCGAATGAGACAGTGGCCTTTCCGCCTACGAATTTGTTGGCGTAGACCTTTGGACCAGCTGCCCTGGGCGTAGACGGCATCGCTGGTGATTTCGGCTGAGGCGTCCTGATTCGACTGATTTGAATTGGTGAGTTCTCGTCGATGAAGTTGTTTCGTTTCTTCGTGTCACCGTCAACCAGCTCCTGTGGCCGTCTCTGTTGGCCCAGAATCCGCCCAGTCTCAGATGTGCGTGTGTTAGTCCGCATCTCACTCTTTCTATCAAATAAGTCTCTTCCAAATGTCTCTGGGTCTATCATCAGGTTGTCTCTATTCATTTCAACAGTTCTATTTCCATAGGGCATTTTTGGAGTGACCTGGCTGAAGTTACCAGGATTTGGATTCGTTTTGTATTGGGGTGATTGGCCATTCTTCATCCGATGCTGCTGGGCATCGAAGGTGTTTAGCACGTCCTCTAAGTCACTTTTGTATGCACTATTCTGCGTATACATTCTATTGACGTTGATATTGCCTGTGTTAAGTGGACTCTGCTTGTTTTTGAGCATGTTTATGCAATATTTGACATAATCTTCTACAATAAACATCCCAGGTGTGTTCTTTCTTGGTCTAATGAATCTATCGTGGCTCTTAATGAAGTTTCTCAGCTTCTCATTCATGTGTCTCTCAATCTGCATCTCCTCCTGGTTCAGTCTACGAAGCTGTTTCACTTTCTCAATTTGACTAGTCTTTTGCAATAAATCATCAAAATACTTCTTGGCCATTCTTCCTTGCCGTATGAACTCGTCTATTGCCTCCCGTGGTGGCTTCTCAGACGGATCATTCCTGAACTCCTCGCTGAACATCGATGGGTTACAATTTTCTACTGAAACTGTCATTCGATAAAACACTCCTTAACAAAAATTGTTTGTTTTAGCCCATGGCCACGGCTAAAAAAGGTGCCATTAAGCGACTGATGAAGGACATGGAGAAGAACAAGGACTCCTCAATGAGCGCAGCACCCCTGGATACGTCTAATATGTACAAGTGGCAGGCAATCATTATTGGACCAAAGGATACGCCCTATGATGGGGGTGTATTCAAGCTTGACATTTCATTTTCACCAGACTACCCATTTAAGCCACCACGAATCGAATTCATTACCAAAATATTCCACTGCAACGTGCATGGGAAGCACCTCTGCCTGGACATTCTGAAGAGCCAGTGGTCTCCGGCCCTGACGATCGACAAGGTGCTTCTATCGATTACGTCTCTGATGAACGAGCCAAATCCATCTGATCCGCTGAACAGGGATGCTGCTGAGAAGTATATGGAGAGCAAGGAGGAGTACAACATGATAGCAAGAGAGTGGACGCAGAAATATGCCACTGAAGACGCGTCTACGAACGGCAGAAATATCAACTGATTTCAATAAATAATTGGATTAGGATTCATTTTTAGGACAGCCCCAGAATGTTCTCGATTAATTTTGTGACTGAATTGGTCTCGGAAATGAGGAGTAGCGAGTTGTGCAAGTACAACACGGCTGCCATAGGAAGTCTAGGCGACGAATTGCGCTATTTGGAGAGTCAGATTGAGGAACTGAATGTCATGGCCAGGGAGCCTGATGGAGTCACAGAGGGAATCAGCGTAAACTACGCCATAATTCAGAAATACAAAGACAGAAATGAGCGAATTGGAAGAATATACCACTTTGATAGGTTGTTAAAAATTGAACAAAAATGCACAGAGAAGGCAGTGTTATCTGAAGAAGTGCTTTCAGTTGACGAAATGGAATTTGCTAGGCAATTCATAGAGCTACAGGACGAATATTACGCAGATCTCAACTATCTTGATACCACAGATAGCAGTGTACCAATTGACTTTTATGTCCGAATTGTGGCATTGGACGACTGTGGAATTGTCCTTACTGGAGATGAGTTCGTTGATATCGTCAAAGACAGGATCTATTTCATAAGAAAGGCAGATATTGCGCATCTCATGGTACAGAATGCCGTCAAATTGTTGAAATAGAAATCAGGCAATTCGCCCATGCTCAAAATTTTGGTGACTGGGACACCGGGTGTTGGAAAAACGACTTTCTGTGCCAAAATGAGTGGAAACAGAGATGCAATCACAATAAACACGAGTGAATACATCAAGAAAAATGAATTATACACGAATTATTCTGATAAATATGATTCATACGAATATTGTACAAAAACAGTTAGAAAACACCTGGAAGAACACATCAATCAGACTAATACGAGTTCAAAAATGATTCTGATTGATACACACGATCCAGAATTGGTATCAAACATTCAATTTGATCTTATTGTTCTGATCAGGTGCAATATGGGTGTATTACGAGATAGATATGCTATTAGAAAATACAGTAAGAATAAAATTGAGGAGAATGTCGAATGTGAGGCATTTAATGAAATTGAGTTGGATTTGGATGAGTTGTTTGAAGACATCCAAATAATACGAGTCAATGGATCTGAGGTGGAAAACGATGATACAGAATACACCATTGAAGATGCCATTGCCTTAATAGGTCGAATAAATAGTGGTCTCTAACTCATTTATCCTTCTTAAACCGAATGAATAGAGCCAGACCAATTGCAACGGCACTAGTTACAGCACCAGCAACCACAAAAGACGTCTTGCTTATTCCATCCATGTTCTTGCGCGTATATTCAAACTCATCTTCCAGTTTAGAAAGACTACTTGTAAATTCAGGTGGAAGACTCCTTGCCATCTTCTGGTCCATGTGTGGTGTAATTTCCAATACGTCTTTCAGTGCCACCAGAATGATGAATGGCCTCTTGTTTCCATTCTGAATGATGCTGTTGAATATTTTGTAGATGTCTTCGACCTTCTTGAAGTCCCTTACGAAGAATGTGAGAATGTGCTTTGCAGTCAGAAACTCAAACATTCCATTGATTGAGACTCCCCTGGTCTCCATCATTGCCACAAATACGCTGTTGTACTCCTTGAACAGCTTGAAGTCATTCCTAACCAGCGGAATGTACTTTGTAACAAATAAGGAGTACAGTGCCTTCTTCAGCATCTCAATTGTCTCTTTTTCCTCCTTCAGAAACCCAAGCAGCATCTTCTGGTTATTCTCCTTTGAGAAGTAGAATGTTTCATTTGCAAATGTGATGTTGTTGTCCACTACCTCTTCTTCTGTCTCCTCTGAATCCACTGATGGCTCCTCTTTCTTGTTTTTCAGGTTCTTGAAATGTGCACTTCTTATTTTTGTCAAATTCTCAACTGATGCATCACTCATCTTCCTTGGCTCCGCATTCTGTGGCTTCAACTCCTCCTGCTCCATCTTCAACTTGCCCACCTTCTCTGAGAAGAATGCTTCTAGAAACACTCCTGCTATTTCAGTCATTCCCTGGTAGTATGGCACTGGCATTGTCTTAAACAGTTCAATTAGCACATTTCTGTACACTTTCAGTAGAGTATAGTTCTTTCTGTGAACTGAGTAGTCAAAATACGTCCTATTGATGTCATTCTCCACCACCCTGATCTCCTCGTCTGTTTTCTGACTCTGTTTCTTCAGTCCCTCTGCTGCAAGCAGTGTCGTGTTTGCAATGAAATCTTTCTTAGCAGTCATTAAGGGCCACGCATCTTTTGATTTTTTAGGCAATGAACCAATGAAAATAGTATCAGAAGAATGAGACACTATTGAGAGTAATATTGAAAAATAGCAATATAGAACAATATTAACTATGAGGCAATATATGTCTCCAAATGTGAAACAGTTCGATAAAATATTACGATTGGAGACAGGCATGTTTCTGAATTTGGCTGTTCTCGTGGTGATGCTGGTTATCTATCTAGTACGAAAGAGACGTGTTGCAAAAGAGAGAAGGGCAGCACAGCGTGAGCGATATGAAATGGATTTCACGCCTTCTACGAGAGGTGGATCAATAAAACAGGCAAAAACGGGGTATTTTGACGTGGTTGTGATAGGTGGTGGATCAACTGGCGTAGGGGTGGCATTGGATGGAGCAACAAGGGGGTTACGTGTCTGTTTGGTGGAGCAGGGCGACCTGGCATGTTCAACCAGCTCAAAGTCAACCAAACTGCTTCATGGGGGAGTTAGATATTTGGATAAGGCTGTTCGAAAAATGAGCATTTCACAATTGAGGCTGGTTATTGAGGCACTGTACGAAAGAAAGGCAATTATGGAGATAGCACCCTATTTGTCTCAGACAATCAGAATGTTTGTACCACTTTACAGCAACCTGCAAACTGTCTTCTATTTCTGCCTATTGAAATTGTACGACTGGCTTGCTGGTTCTAGGTCACTGGGTAGAAGCTACTTTGTTGGGCAAGAACAGGCAAAAATGTACAATTTCCACTTCAGGGAGAAGAATCTGACTGGTGCCATGGTCTACTACGACGGATCCATGGATGATTCGAGGCTGAATGTCATGCTTGGAGTCACAGCCGCATTCCACGGTGCAACAGTTCTAAATCACGTGAAATTCATATCATTTGATTCAAATCAGGGACAAATGATATGTGTAGACAGGCTTACGAAGAGGAAGTTCAGTATAAGAACGAGGACAGTAGTGAATGCTACTGGGTCATACACCGATATAACGAGGCGTAAGACAGGAAAGCAGTCGAATATGATGGTTCATAGCACTGGGTCTCACATTTGTATTGATTCCAAATTTGGTCCAGTAGGAATGGGATTGGTTGATAAGTGCACTGTAGATGGAAGAATGTTGTTTGTGGTACCATGGATGGGATTTTTGGTGGCTGGTGCTACTGAAAGAGTCGTCCAACACCCATCTGCCGTTCTACCAACTAAAGATGATCTTGATTTTATAGTAGCAGAAATTAACAAATTTACTAGTACTAAACTGTGCCATGAGGACGTAAAGAGTATTTGGACAGGAGTTAGACCATTGGTGCAAGATTCAGGGAGCAACAACAGTGAGAATTTGGTCAGGTCATTCAAAATAATTGATGATAAAAACAAAGTTGTTTCAGTCACAGGCGGAAAGTGGACGACCTACAGAACAGCAGCAAAAGAAACAATTGATTTTCTGGTTAAAAACTACAAACTTAAGGCAAGTAGAAGTTGTGTCACTGAGGATATTCGCATTGTTGGATCTACTGGATACTCCAGAAACATGTTTTATAGGATAGCAGAGTGGCATGAGATAGATTTGTCGTATGCAAAGCATCTACAACAAACATACGGAGCATATTCATTCAAATTGGCTGAATATTTGAAGAAGCACAGAAGTAGAATACTGGTAGAGTACGAACACACGTATGCAGAAGTATTGTACGTGATGAGACACGAATATGCGATTACATTGGGTGATATCGTAAACAGACGATTTAGGATTGGATTCATTAATGTAAGGGACGCGGAGAGAATGGCCATCAAAATACGCGAATTCCTTGTATTGAATAATATTTGGTCTAACACCACTGCTAGGAAATATAGCAATATGTTCTATGCTGAATTAGATGAGTTTGGCTGGTCAATATTAAACAATCCACTGTATTTTATTCATCTGATTTTGATTTCATCAAAATTCGTATAAGATGATAATTCTCCTTCTTCATAATTTCATCCTCATTCAATTCCACCTGTTTTGCTTCTACTGAATCACATGTCACTTCCAAATTATTTCCGTTATTGATTATTTTACACAGGTCATTTTCTGTCGTATTCTCATTCCACTCTACTGCCAATGCATCACCAATGTATTCAAATGATCTGCTGTCATACATCCATCGATTATTGTTGTTATCAACTATGATCAATCTATTATCAATCAGGTGATAATTGCTGATTGTTTTGCTGAATTCCAACTCTGTGATATTGCCTGAATATATCTCATATCTATAGAATACATTATTGGCAAGTAACAAATAGAGGGCACTTCTGTACGTCTTAATTTGTAGAATCCCATTGAATGAAAGTGTATCAATCACAGCACCCTTGTTACAATCAACCACGTTGATTTTATCTGAATTTTCAACGCAAAAGAGCAAATCATCACAGAATTGAGCAGATTGCACTGCTTTGTCTGTTGCAAATTCCTTGAATCGAACCAGATCATCATAGTTCCAAAGAGAGACATTTCCAGTAGCTGTGATCAAATAAATCACATTTTTCTTAGCAAAAATGCGTATTAAATTACCTCGCAATTTGTCATCTTTGATACGAGTGATAAACTGATTCTGTTCATACATACTCACAATATGATTGTCATGTGCTACAAATATCATGTTTCTGGCTGTGTTGGATCCAAACTGTGATGTTTTGTGTGCTATTACATCCACTATTATGCTATTTGGTATTTCCTGTAGTAAAATATTCATTTGTAAATCTATTGAATAGAGTCCACCTTCTGTCTTGATCGATAGCGTAAAGTTATGGAGTGATATATCACTGATGATCTCATTATTATCCCAATCAATTGCTACCAATAATTCTGTATCGTTGTACAATTTGATTTTTCTATTTTCAGGTGCCTTAAGAATCATTGCTGTAAATTGCTTGTAGAATGCTACTCTGACAATCAAATGCTCTTCTTTGATTATTTGGTGCTTGTTTTTATTGTATTTGATCAATGCTGTTGTGTTGACAATCAGAAAGGTGCTATCTACCATTTTGCAGCCTACTATTGGTGTCTTTGATTTCCAAATTATTTTGATTTCTTTGGTTTGCATATTGATCAGCTTCACAGTATTATCATTTGACCAGGTTAAGATGAATGGAAATATCAATTCCAACCCAGTTATTTTGCCACTGTGGATTTTGAAATGATCAATTTTCCTAAACATATCGAATTTGTATTTTCTAGGTATTTCCCATACTTCAACAATGTTGGTATCTTCTGTTCCAATTGCGAATATTTCGCCATTGCAATCCATACAAGTCGCACATTTCGATAGTTTGGCAATTTGTTGACCACTTTTGAATATTTGAATTGTTTTGCCTGTGGAAATGCATTCCAACTGTTTTAATATTTTGAATGCTGTTATCTCTGAATTTGCTTCCAACACTGCTGTTATCTTGTTACCATTATCTATAAATTGTATGCTGTTATTTTCTGCTATGAATACACCATCCTTAGTACGTACTACTCTTCCATCTTTCACTTTACCACTGATGTAGAATCTATTCACTGTTTCCATAATTTGGGTAAAAATTTAGCAAAACAGGATTCGTGCCCTGAGACATTTAAGCAGCTTTTAAAGTGCCGATTTCACGTATTTCTCTCTCTTCTTCTCAAATTCTTTTTCTTTATATCTTTCTGTGCTTAATACTTCAAACATCTTGAAACTGCTATCGAAGACATCATCTTTTGATCCATATGAGCTGAATAGCACCAGGTCCTCTATGGTATCGAATTCAATATGTTTTCTCATCCTCACTGTTTTGCTGAATAACTCTTTATCCAACTTCACCTTCCTGTATATCATCAATATAGCGGTGAGAATGCTCAAACCAAATAGAAAATAGCCCAATAACACACTTTTTACGTTGTAATCATTCATTGGTTTCATTTATGGGTTGAATCGCATGATTTCTAATATTTATTCAGTTATTGTTCTCCTTGTGGTACTTTTGTAGACTGCTGTATATCAGGGCCTCCTTTAAATTATCAACAACAACTTTCTCGTTGTCTTTGCTGTCTGCTCGTGGATTTTCTGCAACCTTAGACGACAGCACATGTGATACCTTTGCCCTCAGTCTCATTTGATGGTAAATCAGATTAGTTCTCTTCAGCTCGATCAGAATATCAAGTATCTCTTCATTATCAATGTGTTTTTCAAATATGGTCTCGCACGATTTATCATAAACAGGCTCTTTTCCAAGTAGATTGAATCCACGTTCAATCAGCCTGTTTCGTCTCAATTTCACTGCCTCTGTGATCATGTGCTTTCGTTCGTCACCAAGGTGCTTTTGATCATACGCAATATTAAGCTTCTGGGGCTGCAACCTATGAAGGGTGTTTAATTTCTCCTTGTTAAACGGCAAGCTGGCCAAGTTACTCTCATAGTCTTTTCTAAAGGCGTATGGATTCTCATTATTCAGATACTGGGTTGGTAGATAGTTGTCTTGTGAACACTTCTCTTTTTTACTCATAGGGGTGTAAATTTTTACTCGTTCTTCTCAATTTTATGCTCAATTTCAGTCAGGTCAATGTAGTTTTCAACCTTATAGGTCTTTGCTCTCTCGTAGAAGTCATTTGAAATATCAGTCAGAGAGTGTGTTAGTCCATTAAACAACTTACAATTCTCGTATATGAGCTTAATGTCATTCAGAAACATGTCGTACTTAGTATAGACTCCCCCTTTGATGTTGCTTTTCATCTTAAGAAAGTCCATTGGATTATGTACAATCGTCTTGTACATTGGGAACTTCTTGTCGGAAACAGGCCTATGAAATGGGGATGAATATGGAATGGCTGAGAACTGGTTGATTAGCTTGAGCAGTCTCTCCTGCATCAGTGCCTTGCCTTTCTTCTTTTCCTTAACACTCTTTTTGGTTCCCACATAATTTGGACAGTTCTTATTCGTCTTCATGTGACCTGTTTGTCCACAACTTGAACATTTCAGTGATACCTTCTTATCATCCACTTTCACTTTCTTACGTGCCTTTAGATACGCCCTGATTACTTTTGGATCCGATATCTTCTGCATTCTCTCCACCATTCGGTCATTCTCAAAATACGTTCTCTTGATGATCAGTGATTTGGATTCAACTATGGTCTCGCTCTGACTTGCTTCTTCTGCTTTGGTTGCCTTGCTCTTTGGTTTTGGCGCTGGCTTCTCCAGAACAGCACTTGAACTCAATGATATCCACTGCTTATTCCAAACTGATAATATCTCTGATTTATATTTAGCCTGATGATCAGACATCAATCTTCTATTTTCTGCCTCTGTTGCCTTCTTAAATTTCACCCTTCCAAATGACATGGCCTCTCCAATTCCTGTTGAATCGTATTGTCCCCTGATTTCAAGAAGACCTTTCCCATTTGACGCATTCACGAAGTTTCTGCAAAGGAGCCAGTTTGGAATGTAATCGGTCTCCTCGTTCTCATCTTCAAGTATTCTGTATCCCAAATCTTCCATTCTTCTCTCTCCTGCCAACATGCTCTGATATTGGCAGATGTTTTCAGGTGTAACCAATTTTCTAATTTCCTCTTCATTCAAAACCAGTGCATTTGTTTTCAGTGTGAAAAATGTCTCTTTTCCCTTTTTGGATGCATCTGTGAATTCCTTAAGCCACTTTCGTTTGGCTCCATCTGAGAAATGTGGTAACACCCTTTCTAGAACTGCTCCTGATAACTCCTGATTCTTGTTAAAGTGTCTGAATGCCAGCACTTTAACTTCATCTCTACAAAACTGATTCAATTTCCTTGATTGTGGGATGAATATTTCTTCTTTTGGTAACTCCTGTCCTACAAGATACGCAAAGGGAATCTTTCTGTATATCAATTTGTCTTGTGTACAAATTATCAGATAATCATTCGATTTGTGTTTGAATAACGGTGCTACAAACAGGTTGTTGTCCAAACACTCTCCTGTTTCTCCCTTTGGTATTTCCCCATATCCCAGAAAGGGTCCTTCATCATCTGGTTCCAACACAATATGATTCTTTGGATCCAGATCATCACTGGTGTCAACTTTCCTGTAGTACTTGTTGCATACGCTGACCATTCCTGGATTCACAATAAAAAGCGGATTCTCTTCAGAGTATTCAAAAAGTACAAAATCAGCCAGGTCGTTGCATGTGATTTCGTACGGCTTCTTGATGATGCTGGAACTTGGAGTGATTTGCATTGGTCTCGAGAACATGAATATCTTGTTCTCGATTCTAAGAGGCGGCTTATGGAAGTTTCTGAGTTCTTCATCAGTCAGGTCAACCCTGTAGAAAACAGGATTCAATTTCAGAGCAGGAATTGAGTGCTGTACACCAAATGCAACCAATGATGTCTTTGTCTTCGTTTCATTCTCATAGTACTTGTCGTTGCTTATGTTGTACTTGTTCTTAAGTGGCTTCTCAAAATTCGTGTTTTTGTAGTTTTTTTTCTTTATTTTCGACTTCTTTTCAACAGCCTCAAAAATCAAATTTGGATCATCTGCGTGTAGAATCAGTGACCTATACCTTGGAACCCCATCGTATATTATGTTTGCCTCCCAGTTTGTGTCCAATAGCCTATTCACATATTCACGAACCTCGTTGTCTATTGGTGGTCTTCCATTACCGCTATCGAATATCTGTTGCTCCCAATTAGCAGTGTCAATCGCATATGTATCCAGCTCCGGTCCCATTCTATCCGTATATGTCTCCATGTTCATTTTCTTCTTCTTTACTTTTTCTGATTTTGCTGGTGCCTCGAACACGTAAACACTGTTTCTGAATTTATGGGAGTCATCAACCTCGTATCCAAGCTGTTCAACTGGTCTTCTTGACATCTTGTACTTCTTTAGGTTGTATTTATACGGTACTTTCTTTACAAGCAACTCTATGAAATTGGTCATTTTAGGCTGCTTCATTCAGGGTGAAAAACACGAACTAATTTATTGAGACTTTCTCGTTTTTGGTGCTCTCGATGGCATAAATATTAATAGTATTGTGTAAAATATCTGTGGCAGAAGTATCAAGCACGCGAAGAATGCACACTTCTGAACACCATCGACATGTTCCAGGAACAAATAGGCCCAGAACCCGTGTGTCGTATGAAGATGGCATAACATGGCTATGTATCCGGATGAGAATCCAAACAGAATGATTCTCAAGAACTTGCTGCATCGTGGTAACATGAATGGATCTACCAAGCAAGCCAGAAACAATGCCAGGTGCCGTGCATATTCTATGAACACGTCCAACCTTTGATCTCCTGTTCTTATAAGTCTAGCGTACTTTGGGAATGTGTTCTTGTAGGTCCAATATATCGTGACCATTGTAAACTGAAATGAGAGTGAAAATGTCATCATAAGCGAGTGGATTCGTCTGAACAGGCTGATCTTCTTGAATACTCCCAGAACCAAGGTACAGATTGCTATATTGTTGCATAAATATGATAAAAATCTGTTTTTACCGCCTGGCATTGAGTAGAGGAATGCCAATTCGTCATTTGAGAGCAGAAAGTCCGCGTTACCTGCGATGCCACAGCCCAACAATGCCATTCTCAACAAAAAACCAAACATGGGCAAAAAAACCCAAATTAATTTGGTGCGGTTACCTCGCTAAACTTGTTCATTGCCATGGCTGTCAAATCAGTTTTGATCAAAAGAAGATTTTTGTGCCCATGGTTAATACGTCTGGGAATGACACAAAGGAATCTCAGACAAATGAGAACAGCATGGTAAATGAGAAAGAATCCAGGAAACAGTCGTCACAAAATGGGCAGCGTGAGATGAGTTCTGGACAGTATCAAGGCAACTTCGTCAAGAACATCAACAAGGCCAAAATTAAAAGTTACCAGAAAAAAGGAAGTAAAATCAGCTACGTGGACATGGAGAAATTTGTTGAAAAATTCCTAGCACTTCCTACAGAAAAGAAGGTGAAGGCTGCCACCGAGACAGTTGAATTGGGAGAGCAGATTGTAAGTAAGGAGCTCTATGCGAAATACAAAGAGCCACTACGGGATCGTCTCTGTGCCTCGTACATCCTCAAGGCTGATTTGCCAGCTGATTCCAACGTGTATGAAGATGACCTATTTGTCGACATAAACAGGCTTAATGGGCTTGTTTCTGCTGTGAATCCAACCAAAACAGACAAAATGGTCGACTTCTTTGTAAACAACAGAATATTGGAATCATTCTATATTGGAGACGTAATAGAAAAATATAAGGAGTGTAAAAGCATCACAGATCGATGCAATCGATACAGAAAGCATATAAAGGCAGTGTTATTGGAAAGAATGGGATCTGCAATATACTTTAAGACATATGAAACAATACATAAGGAGTTGAAAGAGATTCATTTGAAGTCTGTAATACGAAGGAAGAAGAAACAAGATGAATTTGATGATAAACTCGTGGAAGAGTATATGAAGAGAGAGGAGGAGTTTCTGTCAGTGTTTGGAGAACAGACGCAGTTTGCATTCGATGAGTTGAATCACGCTGACATTATTGAGAGTGAAGAGAGCCAGTATGAAACATATTTATAAATATCAAATAATATCACTGTTTTAAATTGGAAACTGTGTGGAAACAAATGGTAAAGAAGCATCTCTCAAAAGCCACAGAAGAAGAAAAGGATAAATCTATGCATCCATTACCTGAAAATAACAACAAAAATGAAAGCAAAATCGATAAGGCTGCGAATGAGGGATACGAGGAGATGGTTCGTAATAAGTCGCAGGCACATGTAGTCACAAACGAGGGACTCACATCGAAAGATTTCAAAGACGGATTTGATGAGTGGTCTCATGATAAAAAGAAAAAGTGGTACGAGAAGATGGATAGAGACTCAAGCACTTTCAGTAGCAACGATACAGACAAAATTGTAGATTGGGTTAAGAACAAGTTCAAGTAGCAGTTTGTCACATTTTACTTAATTCATTTTCTAGGCCAACGAGTGTCTTGTGATTCTGGTCCAGAAATGATCCCAACTCAAATAGCGCCTTTTCAATGAAGTCTTTTTCTGTTGCCACCTTGGTCTGAATCGTATCAAGTTCAATCTTCACGTTATTCAACTCCCTTTCTGAGTTCTGTACGATGTAATCACATGACAGCTTTAGATTCAGCATGTCTCTCGTTTGTTTGTACATTTTGTTCAGACTCTCTTCGTAGTTTCTGTCAAACAGCTCCTTCTTCTCCATGTAGACCTTCCCAGTCTCCTTCAGGTTGTTTTCCATTCTGGCGTATTCTTTGCCAATATCATCCTCACTCTGCTTCAACTCAGCCAGCCTCTCTTCGAGATTCCGTACGCTCAACTCGTATTTCACGAACTCCTCTTTTGCACTGATGTGCTTGTTCTCGAATTCATCTACGTTGAATTTCACAGTTCCTTTTTCAACTCGCTGTACCGCAGATATCTCACTAAGGAGCTTATCCATTTCAGCCTCAGCCGCCTCAAGCCGCGTAGTCGTCTTCAAATTCGCTTTGGATGCCTCTTCCTTCTCTACACTGATCTTTTCTAGACCCTTAAGCAGCTTCTGCTTTTCATCAGTCAATTCGTTAATATCTTCAACATTTAGATCCTGTTCACTGATCTCTCTCTTCAGGGCCTCTCTCTTCTTCTCTAACTCACCCACCTTGCTTTGAATTGATTTGACGTCACTCAGAATCTGCTCAATTCCCTCAATGTATTTGATCTTTTTGGTTTCAATCTGTTTATCATAGGCAACGAGGTTGTTCATGTCTGCAAGCAGCTTATTCTTCTTTGATTCAAGTCGACTGAACTCATTTAGACACGTTCTGTGTTGATTCAGGTCATTTTCAAGTAACTCAATTTCATTTTTGATGACTTGAACCTCCTCGTTTTCCTTGCTGTAGATTTCCCTAACACCCTCAAGAAACTCGTCGTCGCAATTCTCGTTCTCTTCGTTGGCCATGAAATTGGCGTATTCTGTGCAACAAAACTCAAAGAACTCCGTGTCAAGTGATTTAGGTGGAGCCTGAAGAAATGATTTCTCAATGATTTCAGTTAGCCAGGCTACCATTCCCAGGAGAGAAGGAAGGGCGTGTGGGGTGATGGATGTGAGCTGGCTCTTTGTTATCTCATTTGCATACGGATACTTCAATGTCTTGATTAGGAATATGACATCTTCTTCAAATCGACTTGAAATGGATGCATCAATAAATGCAACGATGAATCTCAGCACATTTTGGAAGTCTTTGGTTGATGGATTTTGTAGGCTGAGATTACCCTCGTATTTGTTTTTAGTCAAAAATGCAGTAATGGTCTCAATGCTCTTGCTTTTGAACTCCTTGTCTTTGACATTGCGTCCAATACGCGTGTCATCTGGAACAGTGGACCTGTTTGGTCCAGCGTGATGTACGATGCTCTTTCGTGGAGTGTGTGTCAAAGAGAACCTTCGCATGGGCCCAAATATTTTTGATTTTTCTGAATTAAGCTTAATTGCATAGAATATGACGTAATATCCATTAGACACGAAATAATTTAATTGCCTGAAAAATGTGATAAAAATTTGCCCATGCAGAAAACAGCTAAAAGACGATTCAATAAGGAGCAGAATAGCGGCAGCAAGAAGTTCAAGAAGATGAGGCAAGTTAACAAGAGGAAGGGAACATCAAATTACGCAGCAAATGGAAGGATGTCGAAGAATGTGATTGTGCCACATCCAAAATTCGAAAACATTTTTATCAACAAGAAGAAGGTGGACGCCCTCATGACGCTGAATATGGTTCCTGGTTCTGCTGTCTACGGTGAAAAAAGAACTTCAATCACCACTAATGGTGAATCAGTTGAATATAGACATTGGAATCCGTATAGATCAAAATTGGCTGCTGGTGTTGTATGTGGATTGGAAGAGATCTACATCAAGAAAGAAACAGCGGTATTGTATTTGGGTGCAGCCAGTGGCACAACACTCTCACACATGGCTGAGATTGTTGGAAAGGATACTCTGATTTACGCAGTTGAGTTTTCAACAAGATCTGGACGAGATTTGATCAACTTGGCTGTTAAGAGACCAAATATCGTTCCAATCATTGCAGATGCCAGAAATCCATCTGAATACAGAATGCTGGTACCAATGGTAGACACAATCTTCAGTGATATCAGTCAGTTTGATCAGTCTAGAATTGTGATGAAAAATGCTGAGTATTTCCTAAAGGAAAAGGGAAAGATTCTGATTTCAATCAAGGCGTCTTGTGTGGATTCAGCCATTCCAGCTGATCAGGTATTTGCTAATGAAATCAATTGGCTTAAAAAGAACTCATTCAAACCAATCGAGCAAGTTACGTTGGAACCATACGAGAGAAACCATGCCATTGTCACCGGAACATACAAACCAAAGTAAACGTGATATCAATCGATTCTTCAATTTACTTAAATTGCTTGTAGTTGAATCATGTTGGTTGGATCTCTCTTTTTGCACAAAATGTGTTTACCACAATTGGAACAGCGTATTGGATCCTTTGGTGTTAGATTTATCGATGCTTTGCAGCTGTTACAATAGTATTCTGAGATTCTGTTTTCATCTGGATGCTGTTGCATTATGGGCAAATTTTTGATTCATTTTTCTACCACTCAATTGTCTCCTTCTTTTTGCCTTTCTTTTTCTTCTTGGTCTTCGTATCACTCTCTTCTGCTTCAGTTACGAATCTCTTAGATCTGTAATTCTTTGCCCTGGTATTTGCTGTCTCAAATTGTTCAAGCAGATCTGTTCCATATACACCAGTCTTGAGTCGCTCCATTAGCTCGTCTCCCACTTCTTTCTCAAAATTGATTGTATTCAAGGCCTTCAGTGCTCGCACCTTCTCACGTCTCGTCATCCTCTTCTTTCTTGCTACTAACTGATCCTGTGGTGTCTTAGACATTTCAATGATTCTTTCCAATGCCTCAAAGCACTGCGTTAGTCTATTCTTGCACCTATCAATTGCAATTTGATCAAAATCCGCCAGTTTATTTTCTATTGTTTCGAGTGCTTTCTTGTAGTCGTATCCGAGCTCAATCTCCTCCCACATTGTTACAGGTGTAGTGCTTCGTTCTGGCTCCTTTACACATAACAATACTTTTTCATTTTCAAATCTGATTGTAGCATATTTTGTATTCGCAAGCGGGCAGCTGAATTCGCTGCATATTCCAGTCAAATTATATTTATTTTTGCACAGAGTATCCTTTCTACTTCCCATTCTATACGCACACGTCTTTTTATTTCCAATGCTGTCCCATATTTTTCTATCGAACATCAGGCTTAAAATTTTATTGATCCTTTTTTATGGGCAGTGCACCGGGTTTCAATCCTGAGCTGATTGTTTTTTTGTGGAAATCTGTTGCAAAAATGCTTTCAACTGCCTCATTTGGTAGCAACTCTTCATCCTTATTGAATGTTCTAATGGTCTCGTATATCACAGCAGCTGGTGCATCAGTCTTGAATCCCTCTAGGTCACAGTGTGTTAGAGACACACGGTATCCTTTATTTGCCAATGCAGTCATCAAATGCTTCCGTTTGATTTGTGGCAATTTACACCACTTGTATAGTTTCCCTAGTTCGTAATAAAACGGATATTCAATCTCCTGTAGGAAATATCGTAGTAAACCTGTGATTCTTTGGTTGTTAGCTTCAACTACGTTTACCAGCAGCCTCTCTACAAATTCCTTGTCATAAAGTTGTTTCGTCCAGAATGTGCCATACTGCTTCATATTGACTCCACAGTTTTCGCAAACCGTGCTTTTAATACGTTCAGTCAATCCAACCATTCTGTATTCACCGCATTCACATATCAGTGCATATCCATTTGAACTTATGCATTCTTTAACTTTTGTTGCCTTTATTTTGCATATCACACGCAAGTAGTAATCTACTGAGAATGAGATGATTGGATCAATGGACATGTCGAATTTGGCTGCTGTTTTGCTGATGCAACTTAGAAGAACACGGATTGGTGTTTCATTCTTGCTGAAATTTCTGAATATTGTTGAGCCATATTTTACAAAACACTTCTCAGTTCTAGAGCAGAGTGCTGCTTTATCTGTGCAAGTGAAGCAAATCAGGCCATTTCCTTTTACTGCCTTGAATGCACTTTCTATGAACGTGTTGCAGCTTCCAAATGGATCAATGTCTATGACATCAAAATAGTGCTTGGTCTGATTCATCAATACGTTACAATCCATCTGTGTTATTGTGACTCTGTTCTTTGTATTTCTTTCTATTTTCTCCACTTTCGTATACTCTGTGATATCATTCAAATTCAGGTTGTCTCTGATGCTTTGAATGGCCTGTGTTGAAAAGTCATTGAGAAAGAGATTGAATTTCTCACTCTTTTTTAGATATCTGATTCCTCTTAAGCCAGAAGCAGCCATTGCATCCAAAATGCGTACATTCTCTTTCCCCTTGAAATACTCCTCAACAACGGTAAGTGTCAAGTCCCTGTTCAGCTTCTGAGCTGGATTAAAGAAAGTGTCTTCTCTTCTGTGAATGACTGTTCCTTCTTCTTCAATATAATTTTCGTTATTTGAATAATCCATTTCAGGATAAAAAAGTACTGAATTATTCTAGTGAAGTTGAGTTCAAAATCATTTAGTAAATTTCCGAAGATGCGTCTTGATTCTTTTTATCTGCAATCTAATCATGAAGAATGAGAATGACAGTAGTCCAAGAAGCCTGTACGTTGTGATGATGAATAGAATTGCCAGTAAGTATATTGTTTTTCTCTTTTTCTTTCTACCCCATTTGGCACCCTGTTTCAGTAGATTGTAGAGTTTTGGTGTTTCTGAACGCAGAAAACGAGTTATAAATCTAAATATTCTGCTTCTGAATATGTTTGTAGTACACAGATAACCCAGTGCTAAGTAATATAAAAGGGGGCTGACGTCAAAACCGTATTCTAGAATGTGTAGTGTTAGAAGAATCCGTCTATACATTCTGAAGTGATGTTGGTATATTTCTGATAGTTTATCAGTCTCCATGATCTGCTTCTTCAAACTGTATGCAATTTGTGAAACTGAGAGAATTTCGTAGAACATTGAGAAGGGGGTCTTTTTCGCCTTGTTTAATATCAAAATAATTTCTGATATAAGTGTGGATGCTATGCCTGCCCTAAGACTAGAGATTACCGAATTAGAAAAACGTGTATATTTTGACATATCAGTAAACCTATCACATCACTGTCAACCAATTAAGAAAAGGAAGACTTTCTATACCTGTCAAAACAAAGTATTGGTTAATGTGATAAAACGGTTAAAATAGACTTTTTAATTGAATTGGAATAATGCAACTGTGTTAAAGATAATTGCAACAAAGAACATTCTCAAGAAATCACTTGCTACAAATGATCAACAGTATTGATCATTCTACCTGATTTAACTTGAGATTGATGTAGTCATTGAATATCACTAAATATGGTTTGTTGGTACGTCTCAGTTGATCTGCTATGTAAAACATCTTCTCGGCATCAACCTGACCCATTTGTTGCAAACATTCCATACATTTCCCAAAGTCGTATGCCACCAATTCCTCCTTCTTGAATAAAACCAATACAACACAGCAGTATTCCAGTAACTCAAATCTGTATGCATCACTGAATATCTTATCCCAAACAAACAGCAGATCATCCATCTCAAAAACAGTTGAAAACAGCTGTAGAATCCACCTGAGAGGGAATGACGTATCCAGCAACTCTTTCTGCTCCATAATCTTAAACAGTTCTGGGTCCTTTACCTGAATAATTTCGTAAATTGATTTTATCCTCCCATTTACGCCATTTGGTGACTCGTCAAATAGCTCTGTGAAGCACTCGTGCAATTCACTCATCAAATAGTGAAACAAGTAGAATGTGTCCTCCTCTGCGTACTTCTTATCGTCTAAATCCACACTGCTATTCATAACGTGATAAATTGGTATCACAATCTGAATCATTCCCTGGACGTATCCAATTGACTTGTTTGTGCCTGCAAACTTCAAAAGTGTATTTCTCACAGGTTCTCTATATGCCGCATATATCCCGTTATTCAGCAGTAAATCAGTTCTATTCAGGTCCTTTTCAAGTAGCTCTTCATGGCTTGAATCTATTCCTATTTCATGATATGCTGCTCTAGCTTTCTGATAATACTCGTCTGATTTGAACTTGTTTGGACTGTAGTAGTTCAACAACACTTTCCAGTATTTTGGTCTAAGGTTCTTACAGTTGAATCCGTAGTAAATGCAGTTTCGTACTTCAAAGATGTTGAGTGGCGTAGAATCACTTGGATTCAACTGCTTGGAAATGAGAACACTTAATTTTTGAGCAGGTTTGTAATTTTCCATAAGCCAACAGGCTGTTTGTTTTTTAAAACAACTTGTTTAAATGAAGTTTGAAGCCAACGATAAAAATATACTGTCTTAAAGGTCTATAAAATGTTGCTGTTGTATATAGAACAATATTGATGATAATTTAACAACCTTAGAAGAAATTTCAATGTTTCATGCACCATCTTTTTGATTTTGTGTTTTTGTACTACAATTTGTGCTAAAGAATTCTGTTGTAATCCACTCTTTGAACTCAGAATCTTCCAAATTTCCCTTCCAATTAGGCGTTACCTTTCTTGATGCCAATGAATCAGCAAATAAACCGTATTTAAATTCACCTGGTTCATGTGTGTGTTTCTTTCTGCGTGACATAATATACGATATGCGTTGATTTTATACAAATACAAACAAAATACCTTTTTTGTTCGCTTTTTATTGTTTTTCTTTTAGCATTTGCCGGATATGCTCATCAAGCTTCTTAGGTTGCTTTACAAACTCTTTCAGTGAATCTAATGGCAGGCCAGCCATTCTTCTACCTAAAATGTCAGCGAAATCCTTGCTTGTAGATGCACCCAACTTCTCGAAATTCTCCTTGTGGCTATCTGCCTTGGACATCAACAAATCGTATAACGCTGCCAACACCTTCTTCTCGTCCACTTTTCCTTCTCCAAATGGCTCTGAATTCAACCTGTTCAACTCATTTCGCTCACATTTGCTCTTGTATAGAGACAACTCAAGCTGTGCATTATCCAGCAGAATCTGCTGCCCCTTCTGCATTGCTAATGCTGCTTCTTCTACTGTAGAATAGCACACAAATCCAATCTGCTTATCTGGAAACTTTGTATCCTGGCACAATTTGAAGTCGACTATTTTCCCATAGGCACCCAGAACATTGAGCAATTCGTCTTCAGAAAACGAAATTGGCACGTTCTTAATGAACAGGTTCTTCTTGAGTCTGGCTCTGTACGCTGTTCCAGAACCATGCAACGACTTCAATGCCTGTTCACGCTCACTCTTCTTCTCATTTTTTTGCAAATAAAATGGCTCAACGGTGAATCCTTCTTTCTTTCCCATTTCCTTGTTGGTGAAGATTGGCTTGCTATGGAGTTCAACAATGGCCTTCTGTGCCGAAGCAGCATCTGCAAAGTCAATACATGCGAAACCAACTGGAATTCCATCGTCTTTAGTTGGGAAATAGATGCTGTTAATTTCGCCATATTTTTCAAGGAGTTTCTTGAGCATTTCTGCCGTGTAGTTTGATGGGAAGTTCTTGCAGAAGCAGTTTGTGAAGCTGGCCACGGTGTTCTGCATCTTCTTTTGTGGGGTGTAGAACTGCACCATCAACTTACTCCCATCAATCTGTACATTCTGACACTTTTCAACGGCGTCCTTTGCTGCCTCAGGTGTCTTGAACATGACGTATCCGAATCCTTTAGAAGCACCACTTTGCATCCTTGCTATTTTGCAGATTGTGATCTCACCAAAGTCTGCAAATACCTCTTCCAAATCCCTTGAATTCATTTCCTTAGGCAAATTGTTCACAAACACGTTGGTGTTATCTGTGTAACTGTATTTTGCACCACAGTGCACCATAAGCATCTCCTTGCCATTCAATTCCGTGTAATTGTATTGTTTTACGGCATTCTTTGCATCATTGGGCGTGCTGAACGTAATGAATGCAAATGCATGTTCCCCATTAGCAGTTTTCTTCAATACCACATTTGTTACCTCAAATCCGTTGAAGACCTCTTTCAACTCCTTCGATGTTGTGCTCAATGCTACGTCTTTAACGTAGACTTCGCAATCAACATTCTCCCGGATTGTAATGTTGCTCAGCTTCTTAATCAACTCGCTCATTTTCAGGGCAAATTTTTATCAAAACAATTTGTATGTGCATTGATATGAATTTAATATTTAGGGGATTGTCTTGGCATCGCACTTGCTTCTTTTGAGAAGTAAGAGGCCTATTACTGCGTCGATCTTCCTAATGGCATCGGGATGTAGGCCACCAAATTGCACATCTGTTTGTTTTGTCATTTGGCTGTTTATTGATTTTGTGCTGTTGGACTGAGTGCTATACAGTTCCAGATGTTCATCATGATGATACTCTGGTTGCGTCATCTCATCCAAGCATTGGTTTATCATAAGGGTTACAAATAATGATTTTTAAAGATTAACGCATAAAACAAACGTAATATAAACAAACAAAGAATGGCAGACACATAAAAGTACTATTTGACATTGATAGAGAACCATTGAAAATTAATTTCAGTGATTTAAATGACAGATTTCTGACTAAACCTAGAAAGAGAAACTGTTATTTTGGGGCCATGAAGGAGAAAAAAGAAATTGAAGCAGATTTGAGCAAATTGAAGCAGAAACTGAAGAATGCATGTGAGACGGATAGAATAGAGGAGTTGCAGAGAGATATAAGGAAGATGGAAGAGATAAGAAGAATTCTGTTGTTGAATGAGAATGATTTCTATGGAATATTGGAATGCAGCAGATCCAATACACTTGACGAAATAAGGGCCTCTTTTAGAGAGAAAGCTACGCTTATTCACCCAAGTAGAACTAGACTAACTGGTTCAAACAGTGCCTTACAGAATGCATATGCTCATCTGAACACCTTGGCCAAGAAAATAGACTATGATAAGGAGGATGAACCAATAATACCTCCAGGATACGATAGGTTTAACGAGAATGTATCAAATAATGAGGTATTCTATAGAAATCCAGGATGGGGTGGCATCAGTGCTAGTATTGGAATTGTAGACTGGCGCATCCAGTACAACTTCTACCTTAATGAACTGTACAACCACACGGTCTTCAGACAAAGCAGCAGAAGCAACACATCTGAGTCACGTACTGTCCAATTCTCCAGACTCATCACATCCTTTGGATTGTTGCTCATAATAATCTGCCTGCTTTATCAGGGACCCTGAAAATTCTTACAAAATTTACCCATCAAAATGGCAGTAACACTGAATAAATCATATGCATTAGCTGCACTGTTGATACACGGATCCAGCCAAGAAGTGACGCCTGAGAAAATCAAGAAGGTCTTTGAAGTGCTCAAGATCGAATTTTCTGCCAAATTGGCAAACAAGTTCGCTCTGCCTGCATCAAAATATGCGGATTTGATGCTGTCTCCTGGTGGTGCTGTTGTGGCCACAGGCAGCGGCAACACAAAGACAGAAGCTGCTGCTGAAGAGAAGGAGGAAGCCAAGGAAGAAGAGAGCTCTGAAGTCTGCCTTGAATTCTAATAAATTCACCTGCTTTATTCTTTCTTTTCCAATATTCCTTTCATATGTGTTTCATACTGACGGAACAAATATCTTAGGTCCCTATTGCTTTGCTTGTCAATGACTGTCGCAATACTTTTATAGAAACTTCTATTTAGGCCAGAAATCAAGTTGTGGCCTTCTGATTTAACAGTCTTCTTCACTGGTTCGCTGTTTTCTGAAACTGCGTTGGCAAGAGACACTGATGAAAATACGCCCTTGAGATCAGCAGTGCTTGGAATGTTTTGCTTTGAGACGTATCCTCGCTGTGTTTTTGAGTTATTGACGTCCTCATTTGCTTCTGTCTCATCTGAGGTGGCTATGTTAGCATTTTCTGGTGTCAACTGATCTGCTGCTCTTCTTTTCTTTGGATTACGTGCCATTTCAGGGTAAAAATTATTAATTTTGGGCGGGAAGCCCTATAGGCCGATTTAATAGAATTCATCCAGGATATCCTTTGGAATTCGATTCAACATGTGTTTCGGAAACAACCTGAGCAACTCCCATCCTTTGTCGAGACTTTCGAATATCGTTCTGTTCTCGTCATTCTCCTGTGAAATGAATGTTTTCTCAAATTCATGTAGAAACTGTATCGATAAACGGTCTTCATCACTCAGGCTCTCTTCTCCTATCACAGCTTTCATTGCCAATGCATCTTTTCCAATTGCATATTTTGCATAAAGCTGGTTTGATACGTCAGAATGGTCTATTCTGGTGCGACTGCTGCCTATTGCACTCTTCATGAGTCTGCTTAGAGATGGTAGCACGTTTATTGGTGGATATATCCCACCATTGTGCATTTGTCTGTCTACGTAAATTTGGCCTTCTGTAATGTATCCAGTTAGATCTGGAATTGGATGTGTTATGTCATCATTAGGCATTGTTAGTATCGGAATCTGTGTAATGGAGCCACTCTTTCCTTCAATACGTCCTGCACGCTCGTATAAAGAAGACAGGTCGGTGTACATGTAACCTGGATATCCCCTACGACCTGGAACCTCTTCTCGTGCTGCAGAAACTTCTCGTAATGCGTCTGCATATGAACTCAAATCCGTCATTATCGTCAGAACGTGTCTTTCAGTCTCGTATGCCAGGTATTCACTTGCAGTTAATGCCAGTCTTGGCGTTATGATTCTTTCGATTGTTGGGTCACTGGCCAGGTTTAGGAAAAATGCCGTTCTTTCTAGTGATCCATTTGCTTCAAATGATTCCCTGAAGAATTTCGCCGTTTCCATGTTCACGCCCATTGCTGCGAATACGATACAGAAGTTCTCTTCAGAGGTGTCCAACGCATCCTTCCTTTTCACCAATCCAGCCTGTTTACATATTTGTGCTGCAATCTCATTGTGAGGCAAACCTGATCCTGAAAATATTGGTATTTTCTGGCCTCTTGCAATTGAATTCATCGTATCAATAGCAGAGATCCCTGTTTGAATCATCTCCTCAGGATACACGCGTGCCTGTGGGTTTATTGGCTGTCCCTCGATGCTGACACGGTCTGCTGCAATTATCCCTGGTCCACCATCTATTACATTGGCACTGCCATCAAATATTCTGCCTAGTGCATCTTCACTCACGTCCATCTTCAGAACATCCCCTGTGAACGTGACTTGTGTTTTACATGCATCTATTCCTGTGGTTCCTTCGAAGACTTGAACCACTGCTTTCTTCCCAGAGACCTCAAGCACCTGCCCGTGCTTCATTGTTCCATCTGGTAGCGTTAGCTGCACAATCTCAGAATATTTCAGGTATTTTATGTTATCTAGAATAACCAATGGTCCATTTACACCTGTGATATGCTTGTAACTTAATCGTGGCTCTATTTCCTTGAACATTCCCATTGTTTGGCTTAAATAAACATTGAATTGTTCCTGAAATAGTGCGACAATTTTTATCCATGCTTTGGACTAGAAAATACGCACCAAACGATCTGAACAACTTTAAAACACACAATGAGGTTGTAAGCGTATTTAGAAGCTTCACCATTGACACTGTTCCGAATCTTGTCATCTATGGATCATCAGGATCGAACAAGAAGACGCTTGTTTATGCCTTAGCTAGAAAGATGTATGGAAAGGAACTGGAACTAAGAAGAGTGAACCATGAAATACAAATAAACAGTACAAAAATAGAAATAAGCTACATGGAAAGTAATGAAGTGATTGTGATAAATCCAAGTGCATACAAGAATAGGGACCGAGTTGTAGTACAACACATTATTAAGAAGGCAGCAGAAAGCAGGCCAATAACAAGCTTCTTCAGTAGTAGATTGAAGGGACACAGGCTGATAATAATAGAGCAGGCAGAAAATTTAAGCAAGGATGCACAAGCTGCACTACGAATTACAATGGAACAGTATAGTTCACATTTCAAGATATTTATGATTTGCAGTGGAATTAATACAATAATTGAACCGATAAAGAGCAGAAACCTGTTTATCAGGTGCAGGAAGTTTAAAAATGAAGAAATCAAAGAGATCCTGAAAGAGATAGCAGAGAAAGAACAGGTTACAATTGATGAAGAAATAGCATCACAGATTGCAGAAAATGCGCAAGGTGACTGCAAAAGAGCTATTTCAGTACTGGAACTGCATACAGTAATCAACCAAAGCAGTGTTGGAAAAAGAAGCAAGTTGGATTTAACCAATTTTAAGTTGGCCTGGGAAGAGAAACTGGAGAAAGTTGTGAAAATGATACGAGAAGGGAAGGTTGAGAATTTGGTCAAAATACGTGATGAATTGTATGATGTTGTGGTTCAAAACATTGATCCATTGCTGATTATGCAAACAATCCATCGGTTCCTAGAAAATCATTGTATTAAGGCGAAAAGCGAATCGATTGATTTGCTGTTGAAATACCAAGAAAGAATCAAATTGGGAACAAAGCCACTCTTCCACATTGAGGCGTATGTAGCAAACATGATGTACGTTATTAGCAGGAATTAGTTTATTGGACAAGATGTTATCATCAAGAATGCGATTTATATTTGCCCTGATGGCTTAGTGGTATAGTGTTCGGTTTGGGTCCGAAAGGTCCCGGGTTCGATCCCCGGTCGGGGCCTTTTTGTTAAAATTGATTTTTGGAAGAAATAGAGTATTTGATACACATCTGTTTATTCTGAATTATTTTGTGTGGCCACTATCATTTCAGCAATAACATTATTCTGTGGTTGAGTGAGAATAGTAACTGACGTACCAATTCAAGTGACTCCATTGCTTCTTCATATTCTCTATCTTTTTCCAGGCACACAAAAGTATTCATTACCAATACATTTTTGATCTTGGTTAATGATACCACTATTTCCATTGCAATTATACAGAGTGATTTGGTCCCCATGGGCCGTGATGCTGGTGAAAAGCTGTCTGTTGTTTCGTAGTCAACAACAATTTTATCCAATGTTTTATACTCTCTCATAGCATCAGTTTGTATTTCAGTTAGCAATGCAATTGTTTTGTCTTTATCCTTGTTGGATGCAGCACAAAAGATATTTATGATCAATAATTGATGAAGCATGGGTTTAGAAACAAACAATGTGATATTGAATGTTTCAATATTAAGGTCAAAAAGAAATGTCCATTCACTCCTCATTTAATTAAACAATCGTATGCTAATTTGATCAATTCTTTCATGTAAATCACAAAGCATAGTAAAGTGCAATAATTGATATCAATTGCAAAGAATATTGGTAACATTAGTGCAACAATATGTGTATTGATTGCAATAAATCCTGTCAATGGACACATTTTGTATAGTAACAGCAATGAGAATATCCAATGTGGTCTAACTTCCTTGTGATTGAATTCGATACTGATTAATAGGAAAATGACAATGCAGAATAACCCAATTGTATCTCCCTTAATCAGTCCCTTTCTTAGTGGAATATAGTAATATACACCATAATAATGCGAATACATGTTCATGACATGTCTCAAAAACCACTGAAGTTTCTTAAAGTCTGCGTATGACAGATTCAGGTCCAATCTGTTACACCATTTTGGATTGGTAAAGGTGAAGGTATTGAATAATCTCAGATTTCTCCACGTAAATGATATTCCAAATATTGATCTAGCAATTGTAAACAGATCACTGTTAGGTTGAAAGTTGAATGGGTTAATAACCAGACAACTATGTTCATTTTTCTTGATGAATATTCTCAGAAAGTAGTTTCCAGGTAGATCTGTCTTGCTGATTGTTACACCATGACTAGTGAAATCAAGGCATCTTAGTTTTTGTTTAAGAAGATCAGGATTGTCATGAACCAATAAGATTGTATCAGCAATAGTTGAAGAATACAAATGAGTAGTATTGGTTTGTAGTGTGCCTTTTTCAGGCTGTATAACACCAAATAATGATTCAGATGACATTGTTCTGTATCTTGTTCGTGGAATGAAGAAGCACAGTGTAGCAGCCATTAAACACATTATTCTGTATTGCATTCTGTTCTTTTTGAAATATTCGAATAATTTTTGAAGCAGATCCAATAACATTAGGGCCCCTTTAAATGCATGCACAAATAGACAAATTCTTTAGCATTCTTCCATTCATAATCATCACATATCACACACTATCCGTACTACAAAGTTACCACCATATCATCATACTAACCAAAATCACTATTAACTACTTTGTCTCAGCAATTCTAAAATGGTGTTTCAAACACACCAGGAGAAGTAAGACGTATGAGTTTTCTGAATGGAAAATGCCAAGCTACGTAAAGAGAGTCAAATCGCACTTCTCATTCCCAAGCAGCCATGCCATGTTTTTTGCCAAATATTTCTTCATCTTTCCCGCATACTCTACGTTTGTGATGTTACTGATTGGTACAGGAAGCAGATTGTATTACCAGCATCACACACCATTTGAAACTGTCTTTGCGATTGGAGTCGTAGTTGGTGTTGAAATGCTGATCTATTTGGCAAATAGGCTACTTTGATTCCAAGTATTGTTTAACCTGTTCATTTGCTAGTAATTCCATCCTATCCTTTTTATTCAGGTTTATTGTTAAATTGGTCCCGCCTATTATCTTCACTATTCCATGATCAACAAACTCGTTCAATAAGTCAACAATCATCTGTTTCTTACTAATCATCAATCTTATTTTAACAGCATTGAACAATTGATTCAGGTAGCAGTCTCCAATCTTCAGTAAATTGCAAAATATCATTTTTGATTTCTTTGAAACACTTTCTAGAACCATAAGTGCATTTGTTGTCTTACTGAAATATAGATCAATATCAATGGTTTCCTCTGCATAGTTCTCAAATGTGGTTAGATCCCTATAAATGAAATTGAACTGTTCTATGTCTTGCTTAGTAATTGCAAAATCAATATTTTCCAATGTGCCTATAATTCTGATGTTTTTCAGGTTTACAAACTCAAAAGCGCTAAAATTGAAATTGAGAATAATCAATGTCAACACATTACCACTTTCAGCTAGTTCGTTATCAATATCGTATATGTTGTTGTGTGTGGTGATTCCTTCTAACATCAGTTCCTCAATGATGTTCGATGTTTTCTGAAACCTAAAGTTAAATATATTCGTATTAGGAAATAACTGCTTAAGAATGTTCTGTTTGCATCCATATCCATAGAATAATATGTTATATTTCTTTAGCAGCATCGCATATTCATCTTTACATGATAGATGAAAGTCAAGAAGCTTGTTCATTTACGGTAAAAATGTTAAATTTTTGTCCCACCAAATGGCACAGACGTTGTTAATTTACAACAAGAAGACAGCAGGAAACATTCAGAAAACCATTAAAGATCTGATAAACATGCTTGAAGTAGTGGTAGAAAGTTCATTTGATGGACGAAAGGAGCTAAAGCTAATACCAATATTGATGGATACGAATGAATGTGGAAAGTGTATGTTTTTTGAATGCACTAAACGATTCAATCGATTCTGGATTGCAAACAGTGATGTTTCGTACAGATTCAACATTCTGGAAGCACAGAGCACATTCAACATGTGTAGCAAAGAGAACTTTCATTATAGGAGTGGATACCTGACTATTTTTAGTGATGGATTTGATGAAGAGACTAAAAGCGTACTTCAGCTCATATTCAATGACAGCAGAGAAAAGAAAGAACGAGCAATCCATTTTTATCAAGAAGATGGTGTAATTTATGTTACACACGTCTCCTTAATCACCAATGCTGAAATTGGGCCAAGATTCTCATTCAAACTAGAGAAGAAACTCAATGGCTGCTTTCAGGGTAAATCCACAAATTACGTCATTCCGCCTGAATAAAATATTTTGCAACCCCCGTGTTATGCTATTTTCAAAAGACACGTTGAAAGCATTTGCTGAATCCAAAGGTGTTGAACAGATGGACAATGATGCATATCGTGTATTAAGTCAAGACTTGGAATACAGAATCAAGGAAGTTTGTCAGGAAGCAGCCAAATTCATGCATGCATGTCATAGAACAAAACTAAGCACGACAGACATCAACAATGCACTGATAAGCAGAAACGTGGATCCTCTCTTTGGATACGAGTCACAGGACATTTTGATGTTCAAGGGCCTTCCCAGCGGGGCATATTTTGTTCCTGATGAGGAAATTGATCTAGAAGAGTATCTTGACAAGCCATTGCCAAAGATTCCGCTTAAGCCATACGTTCAGAGCCATTGGCTTGCAATTGAAGGTGTTCAGCCACCGATTCAGCAAAATCCAATCATGTTGGATAAGCCAGCACAAAAGAACGATCACATTTCCAATTTCCAAGAAGACATGATCATAAAAAAGCAGATCAAGCACAGATTAACAAAGGAACTGAACATGTATTTTGAGAAGATTCTCCAAGTAATGGACACTAATCCAGCCATTTCCATGGATTGTCTTGAAAATGAAACAGGTATTCAGCAACTGGTGCCATATTTCATTCATCAATTCAACACCGATCTTAGAAATGATATTTCCAATGAGAATAGATCCAAGACGATATGTCTGATGTACTACAGCCTTCTCAAGAACAAGTTTCTGTTCATTGATCCATATTTGCACGAAATACTACCGTCTCTTCTGACCTGTGTGATAGGCAGCAGTGTGACTGAAGACGTCCGTAATACGGCAATGGACGTTATTAGATACGTGTACGACCATTTTAGTTGTAGCTATCTGACACTGGCACCTAGAATTGTTAAGACATTGAAAACACATTGGGAAAATGAAAGCAAATCACCTGAAAGCAGAATTGCAGCAATAAAGTGCCTATGCCTGTTATCGCGTGAAATTGTGCAGGAACACCTTTCAAAATCTATTGAAAGCATCCAGAACGAAGAAGTCAAGAAAGCATCACAGGATTTCGTAAAGAATGCCTTGGTTGAGAATAAATAATTTTATTGGTTCCATAATCTATGAGTCAAAAAAACTTCAGAATTTTGAAAATACCAAAAGATCTTAGAACAAGGGAGAATAGATTCTACACATCCATTCCCATTATTCTGAACGACAGATTCGATCAAAACAGATGGACTCAGATGATGACAGACCTCAACAAAATAATGGAAAAAGCTGACGAATGGAAGTGGATCAATGTAACACGCATTCTGGTTCCTTTTCTTGGTGTTATACACTTCACAAACTACAAAAAGAGAATACAGAGATACATTAAGAAATGCAACGAGGAGTTAGGCAAAGCAGGAATAAAAATAATGGATCCAAGTGAACACAGTTACACAGAGATGGAGATTTGGGTGTACAACAACTAACCAATCATTTATTCTTACGAATAAAGACGCATGCAAAGAAGCCGCTGCTTATACCATCGTTTCGGCCTACACGAAGAACCTTATCACTAAATTCATAGGCTGGATCACCATGAGGGACACCATCAACATTAATTGTGTCCAATTCGTAGTAGCTGTTCTTCTCTAATGCTTCTTTTACAACGTCCTCTGCTTCTTCGGTGTGTAATGAACACACTGAGTAGACAACTCTTTTCGCATCAAATTTCAGTGCATGATTCAAAATCATGCATTGGAAATTCTGTAGCTTTGCGAGTCTCTCCGGATCTTTCTTGTAGTTGAAATGGATTCCTGATCCAGAGCATGATGGGTCCACAATCACATAATCAGGCTGAATTGATTTTGGGTCTGTCTTCAGAAAATCATTATTGTATAATTTCGTATTTGTTGCTCCATACTCTTTTATCATCTTCTTCAGGACGGTGAATCTACACCTATCTCTTTCATATGCGTGTATTACGCCTGTATTCTTCATCAAATCGACACAATGGGTTGTTTTGTTTCCTGGTGCAGCTGTTGCATCAATAACGGTGGACCCCTCTTCTGGTCTGAGTAAATGCACTGGTAGACACGATTCAAATGATTGTATTTTCACCAAATCATCCAATTCTGTTAAAACCTGCCTTTTAATACTCTCTGCTGAGTTTTCTTTACCACCTGTGATTCTGAATACGTTTGGAATTGGCGTCTTTTCATATTTGAATCCGGTCAGACTGTCTTCTGTGGTCTTCATGGTGTTTAATCTGATAACCACGGAATCATTTGGTTCTCTGAGCATCCTGTCTCCCATTGCTCTCATGAATTTCGCTTTATTTTCTGAGTTATCGATCTTGTTATTCAGAATATCACAAATTAGCACACATCCCAATGCCTCATTCTCCATAAATTCCGTTGTTTTATTTATATCAGCTAGCACTTCATAATTCGTCATGGTGTTGTTTAGAATTCCTACAAATCTGTTTGGTGACTTTCTTCTGTATATTTCTCTCTTTATTGTGCTTAACTTACTGTTTACTTTCTCAACTATTGAAGCAACGTCCTTGTAGAATTTTTGATTCTTTTTGCTTAGCTCTGTAAACATTTTTGGTAAATTTTGAAACAGTTTGTTTATGTGAATGACTAAGGAAAAAGAAGAAGCAAATGAGGAGACTGCACACCAGAAATCAAAGGAACTGAATGAAAACACTGCAATAATAAGAAAACAGATAGAAACACAAACGCAGCTGATTAGGAAAATAGAAATCGAGGCTGATATTGAGATGAACAGGTTCTCAACAAATCAGGAAATGTTCACCAGATCAGTTGAGAAACTTAAAAATGATGGAAGAAACATGCTGATTTGCTTTCTATTGATGATTGCGATCCTATTGGGGAGTATGTTGAAAAAGGTATAAGAATGACAGATTTGAATCTATTGGTAACCTATCTCACTCGATAATAAAATCAAGTGAAGTTGTTTAGACTGATTGGTTGTTTACTTCATTTTTTGATGTTTATAAAACCCCTTATGGACTTCGGATTTATGAATGACTACAGTCAGCCCAAGGAGTGGTGGCTTAAGCCTGTCAAATATCCAAAAAAGTCAAAGGAAAACTTCTCAAGCAAGACTATGCTTCCACTTTCAATACTAAGCGACTTGACCATTTTGAACCTACCAGCGCCGTACATATTCGAAATAGCACATGAAAACAAAATATTGAGGACAAAGTGCACTGTAGGCAACTTCATGGATTATGAAGGTGAAGTAATCATGCCTCTCTGGATGTGGGAGCATCTTGGCCTGAAAACAGCCAAATTTGTAACGATTTCGTATGTGAGAGCACCCTGTGGTAAAAAAATCAAACTGATGCCCCATTCATCCAATTTTCTTAAGGTGGAGAATCCCAAGGCTGAACTTGAGACAGCACTGCGTAATTACGGTGTACTGACGCTTGGTGATGAAATACGACTCAACTTCATTGATTTCAAGAACATGGCATTTACAGTCACAAACATTGAACCAGACGAAGAAGGCTCCGTGTACATCGTGGATACGGATTTGAATGTGGAATTTGAAGAGCCACTTGGATACAGAGAAGAACAGAAAGATGAACGTACTGTAATGAAATACTGTGATGTTGCTGAGAAAGAAGATGAAAAGGGAACCAAGGCATTCAAACAAAACGGCCTAACGCTCTTTCTTGACTTTGAAATGCTGAATAAATAGCTTCCTTTATTCCTTATAATTTGACATCATCTTTTTGTAAGTCATGAAAAGGCGTGGAGAATGCTTCTGTGACTTGAATGATTTCAGTATCTGGTAAAATGTGAATTTGGATGCAGATAACTCAATGAAATTCTGCACAAATACTTCTGCATCATCAGGTGGGCATAACAGAATCTTCAGGTAATTCTTTATCTCACGCATATGTGGAATGATTCTGTGTTTATGCTTTAAATATGATTCAATTCCGCCAATATCTTCGACTATTTGCTCGCATATTGCACTATCATATTTAAATGATGCTATTTGAATGAAGAGCTGCCCCATTATCAACTCAAGAAGTGCTATTTTCACCATTTCATCAATATTTGATTCAAAAATCATGTTTTTCTCGTACCAGGTTATAAAATCACTGCAGTTGTTTGTGTTAGATTGAATTAGAATGAAATTCTTCTTGATTCTCTTATCAATCTCCTCTAATTGCAACTTTTCCAGCTTATTTGTGTATTGGTTGATACGTAAATCATAATCAGTAACGTATTTCTCGCATATAAATTGATTCAAGTCTTCTGCTGTTTGATTAACGTAATATATCGTATTCAGAACAGTTGCACATCCATTAATATCTTGTTCAATGTAGACATGCTTGATGATATCGATCAGGTAGAAATCAAGTGCTTTAAGAAATCCCTTCACCAGTGTGATGTCATCAAAGTGCAGCACTTTCTCTAGAATAAACTGTGATTCTCTGAAAAACTCAATAAACAGCTTGATGATGTTCATCTCTGTCTCATTCTGTTTGTAGTTGACTGATTGAAACTGTTTGAATCTCTGGTTGAGAAATAGCAGAAACCTGGTAATAAAGATACTGCTTAGCATTCTATAATGAATGCACTTCTTTTCTGATTCTGAGCTATTACCGCAACATCCATTATTTAGCAAGAAAGATCCTGTTTTGATTTCGAATGAAATTGTATCAAGCAATCCGATGCAATATTCACTCTCTTCTATTTTCTGGCTGCAAAAACAATCAGAAATCTTCTGTTTGAGTGTCTTCTGCATATTCACAAACAATATCAGTTTCAGGTTCCATGTTCCTGGAAACGTGTAGTATTTTGCACCAAATTCCTGAATGACTCTTTCCATTCTCTTGTACATTTCTGAGAGATCTTCAAATGATCCAAATCGAATCTGTACAAATGTAACAAACTCACTGGACTTCTTTGCAATCAAATGGGAGACAATCAGTTGTTTGATTTCTTGCCTAAATTTGCTGTCCAATTCTTGCACAATAAACATCAAGTTAGCTGGCATATTCTCGTCTGAATGCAAGAAATACGTTATCTTCGTTTCCAAATACCGTTTTATCTCCTCTAAATCTGCATCCGATAGCTTCTTCGTATTATTTAGTATCCCCTTTTTGAAATGCCCAGACCTGACAACCTCAAGAAGCTTCCTGTAATCGTTCATTTTACATAAATTCTTCAGTAAACTGTTCATACGAAACAAAACAATCAATTTAAAACAAACAAAACAAACAATTGATGTGTTTCTTCTGAGAAAAATTTGTCTTAATTTATCCCATTTTGGATGCCAGAATCAGAAAGCGAAGAAAATGAATACGGCGATTTATGGATTGTTAAATTTGAAAAACTGAAGGAACACACATTTTTGGAGCGAATCCCAGACCACTTTCTTGAAGACAGATTCAACTTGGTTAATCTGAAGGAACAGGTGGATGATTTCCCTGAGCTACACAGGGCAATATTAGACCAAGGACCTTCCATGGACTTCGAATCCGAATGCAAATTGTATTTAATAATCCATAGACGATACATCTTGTTCAATAAGAATGGATTGAACGAGGTGTTTTCAAAGGTAAAGAACAAATTCTATGGCGTATGCTCAAAATATGGCTGTAAAGAAGGTGCTATGATACCGGTGGGGCTTTCCAATGATTTTGGTAGAGCAAAGACCAAATTGTATTGCAACTCATGCAAGGACATTTACGAACCAAGGGGATACCTGAAAAAGTTGGATGGATCAGCATGGGGAACAACACTGTGCCCATATTTGTTAGTGGCAGATCCCAAGTTCTTTGACCAGGTAAACACCAAAACATTCAAACCAAGGCTGTTTGGGTTTGATGTGGAGCCACTCGATGTTTCGTCAGACTCATCAAATTAAACCAAATTGTCCATTTTGTCTATTTTTGACACCTCATGGAGGAGATAAACGCATATGAAATAGAAGAGAAATTTGGATTCTACAGATACACGGGGATGGAAGAGATTCCAGGCTGGCTGTTGAACTACCAGGTCAACAAGTACACAGAGAGCATGTGGACGTCACTCTACTTCGTGAAGGAGGATGGATCAAGTTTCAAAATTAGTACGAGGTTTTACTGCTCATTTTTGCTTGAAACAACCGACAATCACAGCGTAACAGAGATGCTGCTCAAGAGATACGAGAAGGTCGTGTACAAAATTGAAGAAAGAGAAAAAATCAACTTGAAAAACTACAACCATCTGAATCTACCAAAGACAAAATATCTCAAGGTGTTTTGCATGCATGAAACTGGCATGAATGAGTTGTTAAAGGATATCAAAGACATGCTGTTTGAAAAGAGGAAGCACAACTCGGAGACATTTAGAACAGAAGAGCACAACACGGAAGTGCTTACGTGTATTACAGGTCACTATGAATCAGATATTTTATTTGATACACAAGCAGCCAATAATATGAACATTCGATGTGGTCTCTGGTACAAAGTGCGATATGATGGTGATCAATATGTGATAATTCCAGAACCAGACAATATGAGCTATCCAAGATTAAGAATTTTTGCATTTGATATTGAGACATTCAAGTCACCGCTGATGTTTCCTAAAGCTGAGGTAGATGAAATAATGATGATTTCAATGCGAACAGAGGCAGCTGGATTTCTGATCATCAATAGAATGTATTGTGGCCAGGAAATAAGCGGATTTACGTACTCTCCCAAACCAGAAATGGCGACCGATTTCGTTGTATTCAACGAAGAAAACGAGGAAGGTGTTCTGATCAAATTCATAGAATTGATTCAGCAAATCAGGCCACACATCACAACGACATTCAACGGTGCATTCTTTGATTACGAATTCATTGAAAAGAGACTGTGCAAATTGGATTTATCCCTGGAAGTCCTAACAGGAATCAGAAAAGTTGGAGACTACTACAATGCAGCACATATGGTGCATTTGGATTGCTATCTCTGGGTCAAAAGAGACTCGTATCTCCCAGCATCCTCACAGGGATTGAAAGCAGCCACTAGAGCCAAATTAAAATACGAGCCAGATGAAATTGATCCAGAAGAAATGGTTAGGTGTGCAATGGAAGAGCCACAAAAGATGGCATCGTATTCGGTTTCTGATGCAGTTGCAACATACTTCCTCTACATGAAGTTCGTACATTCACACATCTTCTCATTGTGCTCACTGATTCCACTTCCACCTGATAAAGTGCTCACGAGGGGATCAGGAATGCTCTGTGAAGCACTGCTGATTTCACAGGCTGAGTTGTTTGATGTGCTGATTCCATCAGTTCAAAAGACAGAAAAGCTAGCATTTCACAATGGTCGTGTTGTTGATAACCTGACTTATGTTGGTGGACATGTAGAGAGCCTGAAAGCAGGCGTATTCAGAGCAGACTTCTTACACACATTCAAATTTGATAGTGGAATTATCGAATTGATCAAAAACAACCTTGATGATCTACTTGAAGACTACAAACAGGAACCTGAATACGGAGACGTAAAGAAGCAACTGATCTCGAATCTCAGTGATTGCAAAGGGGAAATATTGGAAGAAGGTGCAATCTACCATTTGGACGTAGGTGCCATGTATCCGAATATCATTTTGACTAACAAATTGCAGCCAGTTTCAATAGTGAATGAAGAGGCGTGTATTCGATGCGACTACAATGACGAGAGCAACAGGTGCAAAAGAAGAATGAATTGGGTGAGTAGAGCGGAATATTATCCACCAACAGCGATGGAAGTAACCAACATTGTGGAACAGCTGAATAAAGAGGCATTCTACGTCTATGAAAATACGAAGAACAAGAAGGTGGAAAGAAAGGTGCCATTTTCTGAATTACCCATTCGAAGACAAACAGCCATTTTGAAGCAAAGACTTGATCAATATTCAAAGACAATTTACAAAAGATCAAAATGTAAAGAAGAAGTGATGCAGGGATCTGTGGTTTGCCAGAGGGAGGTTCCGTTCTATGTGGACACTGTCAAACTGTTTAGAAATCAAAGATACAAATATAAGGCAGAACACAAGGCAGCGTGTAAGGTTGCAGATGAAAAACCAACAAAAGAGAACAGAGACAAATCATCAATTCTCAATTCACTACAAATTGCATACAAATGCATTCTAAACAGTTTCTACGGGTATGTGATGAACAAGGGAAGCAGATGGTGGTCGATAGACATGGCAGCCATAACATGCAGAGTAGGTGGCCAGATCATCATCAAGGCGAAATCATTTATCAACGGAATTGGAATTCCACTTGAATTGGATACAGATGGAATTTGGGCTGTGATACCAAATAAGTTTCCATCAACAATCAAAATAGGCAACAGGACGGTGTCACTCCTAAACGAAGCATTGAACTATTTTGTATGCAAAATGTTTACTAATGATCAATATCAGGAACTGATTGACAATGAGTATGGAACAAGGCGAGAAAACTCAATATTCTTTGAGATTGATGGCCCATACAAAACAATGGTGATTCCAGCATCAGTTGAAGAGAACAGGCTGCTTAAGAAGAGATACATCGTATTTGATTTCAACAACAACATTGCAGAATTGAAGGGATTTGAATTGAAAAGAAGAGGCGAATTGAAGTTCATCAAGAAATTCCAGGAAGACCTGATTCAAAAATACTGCCTTGGATCAACATTGAAAGAGTGCTACAATGGATTAGCGGACGTGGCCAAATACTGGCTCAATATAATCGACACCAATGGAGCCAATTTGGATGACAAATCGTTGTTTGAATTGTTTTGTGAATCAAAGAGCATGTCCAAGGATGTAGGTGATTATTGCACGAAGAAATCAAATATCCTGAGCACAGCAAAGAAGCTCGCTGAGATGCTGGGGGATGACGTGCTTAAGGAGAAGTTAAAATGCGAATTCATTGTCACAAAGTATCCTGAAAGTGATTCAACTGCTGATAGAGTGATTCCTGTGATTGTATTCAAATCAGCAGAAAAGGAATATTACTTAGAGAAATGGATTGGAAAAAAGAAGTCGTATGAAGTTAGAGACCTGATTGATTGGGTGTATTATAGAAAGAGATACACTATGATCCTACAGAGAATGATCATTGTACCAGGTTACTTTCAAGGAATACGAGGATTATTCAAAAACATCGAATGTCTAAAGTGGATGGGAGAGAAGAAACACGACTATTTTGGTACAGAAAAAGACATCGAGGACATCAAAATAGACACCACCATGTTCTATACCAAGAACAGTAGCATTGTTGAGCAGGTTGAATCGGAAGAAGAGATGGTTGTGGAGGAATCAGAGCACAAAAAGCCAAAAACAAGCACAAACCCACGAGACTACAAGAAAATCAGCAAATACATCAAGGCAATGATGTCAACATGGACTGAATTCTACATCAAAAGAAGCAAATCAACAAAAAGGGCGTATAGAATAGAAGATGATGGAACAAATATCACATTTCATAATGATGTTGGAATAACAACAACGCAAGAACACAGACACAGATTGATATTGGAAGTCAATGCATTGAAATACTTTGATCACTTACCACGAAAACAGTTTCATATGATGTCAGGTTGTTGCAAGGAATGCGTAGTGATGGAAGTCAACACCAAAGAACTCAGGGAGTACACAGAAGACTACTTCTTTGATCATTTTAGTATCAAAAACACCTACAACAACATTGATCCAATTCTGCAGTGCATAGTTGACAACAATTTTGATTTAGGGATATTTGAATATTTCACGATCACATCAACAATTTATCAGCAGCAACCAACATTCTTTGTGACTGATGGTAAAGGAGAGTTCAAGACGTATGCAAAGAACAACTTTATGGCTGGTGTAGGAAGCATCAAAATGTTTCTCAAGGACAATATCAAAAAATACAGGGCAGCATTCACAAATCCAAATGACAACAAGGCAATTGAGTTGATTCAAAATAGCAGAGAATACATTCCGTTTATGACAGATAACAAGACACCGAACATGTTGGGAACACTCAGCAACCTGGAAACCATACACAGAAACCTACACCAAAAAATGAAGGATTCTGCTGAAATAGTGTTAGCATTGAATCAGCTAACTGGAATTCCAATTCAGAACATCGATAAGAACATTGTTCTAGATACATTCTTCTACAAGACAATGATGAATAACAACATATTGATAAAACCAAATACAAACAAGGAAATGCAGCAACCATTCAGAAGTGAACTAATTAGACCAGGATATTATGACAGGTTCACCATACAAATTGAAATCAGTGGATCAGTGTTATTTGCAATCATAGAATATGATGCATTTCTTAAGAATAAGAACTTTGAAGGTGTAAACACCAAAGAGTTTCAGGAATTGCGTAATTTCATCAAGAACCTGGTTCTAAAGAGTGCTGAGAAACACAAGGGAGCAATGTTTCTACTCAACAAAGTGAGCAAGTGGCTTAAGACAGAATCCATCTACGTTAGCAGGGAATTGAGAGAAACAGTGGAAATATTACATCAGCAATATCTGGTGAATTTGTCACAGAAATTGAAAGAGAAGCAGATTGAAACATTCTGCCTGACGAAGGAAATACTCTTTGTGAACACGAACAAAATCAATCAGGAACAGACAAACAAATTTATAGCATTTTTATGCAAGGAAATCAACCAAATTGAAGGATACGAAATGGCCAACATTGAAGTAGTCAGAGTGTTTGATAAGATTGGATTTGTATCACCTGAACTGTATGTGTACGAAAGGAGTGGTATACACTACCTGAGTGTGGAAGGATACACGCTACCTGAAAGCATACTTTCAATGTATTTCAGCTCCAAACAGATCGATAACTACTCAATTTATGACATCATTACCAGTATGAATGCAGAATCTGCAAAGCTGCTGCTTAGAATTCTGTCATATAAGCGAGATACACACGGATTGGTTTCAAATTGCTACAAGTTGCTGAAGATATCTGAATTCAATCAGGCTAAGCCAATTCAGCTCAATCTTTCGATATTCTGCCAGAAATGTGATTCTGAGTGCTATTTGAGAGAACACTGTACAAAATGCCTGAGCAAATTCGATAGGAATCTGGTTGAAGAAGAGTGTTTGAAGTATTTGGAGTATTGCTGGTATCAACAGGTTGAAGGAGACAAGTATTGTACACGCTGTGATAAGATTGAAGAACGAAGACTCAAAGAATACTGCAATTGTGGTGGTAAGTTTGAATTCAAGAACTACATGGATGAAATGATCAGGTTAAACAGCTTCGTGAGGACAAAGAACTTCAACAAGAAGTTTGAGGAGATTGTGGGATTTTTCAACTAAATTTTACTGCTATGTTGGAACAACAAGATTATGGATGTGTTGTATTGGATGAAAGTGAAAGAAGTCTGATTATTGCGAAGAAAAATGTATTCAGAGTGGATGTAACAAGCTGTTCTGATGGATTTGGAATCAATTTGAAGCAATATGAACATAATGTCTCATACAGCAAAAAGGTTGCTGAATTTATAAGGTCTGTCAAAATAAAATTCAATTTGAGTATCAAAATAATCAGCAAATACGCGGATGATGAGCTATTGGATATTTTGAGATTTATAATTGCAAACAGACTGCAGAACAAGTAGAATCACTTACTTTTAGTAAATAGCTGGCCATAAATGTGTGTATTGACTGAATTAAATGGATCAATTTGCGTATTATCCAATAATTCTATTTCCAACTCATCAGTGTCAGTTCTACAGATCAATTCCTTGAAAATTCGTTCTTTCAAACCTGGAATATTTGATAAACCACCAACCAACAACACTTTCGTGATCTTGAACTGTTTTGTAACGTTCTCAAGCATTTCACTAAGTCCCATTTCTTGAATGTTCAGAATCATTGGATTAAAAATGATCTCAGGCCACTTTATCAACTCAACAGCCACACAATTCCTGTTGATATTTTCACCGCGTAATATCTCAAATGTGCTGGCGTAGAACGGAATGAAGGGCGGATCAAGTGCTTTGATCTCTTCAGCCTCTCTGTTCAGATCGTTAAGGAGTTTCTGCTCCATTTCCATATCCTCTGCTTCGAGTATTTTATCAAGCAGGTTGAGTTCTTCATCAGTGAGGTGGCCTTCTTTGTATTTTATGACAAATTCAGATGTCTTTTTGTTTCTTGCGTTCTTCCTTAGACCCTCTCTGTCTTTCAGTCGCCTCTTCATTGTCTCAAATCGCTTCTTTTTGTTGTTCAAATACAGCACCAAATCATCCGCCTTCTTCATCTCATCAGTATTGTTATCAATAATCTCAGTCATTTGTGCCAATGTCTGCGTTATTTTCATCTTGATTCGTGCCATTGTTGAGAAGAACAGTAGTTTGTGTCTCTTCTTGTTGCTTATTTCTTCCTTGCTCAAATCTGCATCATTCTTTTCAATTAAATCGTAATCAATTTCAGGTACTGTAATTTTGTTTGTTTTTGGTGCTATCTTTTTCTGTTCTTCTATGGATACATTCTCTTCACTCTTTTCTTCTTCCAAAAAGAGTGTCTTGCTGTAATCACCATCAGACATTCGCTCCAAGATTTCTAGTGCTTCTTTCCTGTAATCGAGTGAAAACCTGGTTTTAAAAAGCAATCCACCAAATTCATGCCTGTATTCTTTGAATCTCAATTGAAGCGTGTTTTTGATGTATCCAAGCATATCTGCACCACCAAACTGTAACTTTTGTAGATAGCCGATATTGTTCTTTTCAGCTACAGCCAGAAGCACATTGGTGTGTGATAGGCTCACAATCAGGTACTGTGCATCGTTGTTACACTTATTATATGGTAGCATGAAGTCATAGGTGAGTTTGATTTGCCTGAAATTGTATTTTTCAAACAGAAACTCAACCAAAGCCTCGTTTGTTGGAGAATGTGGCGTAGTAGTTAAAATTAAGCTTCTTTTGTGTTTCTTGCCAAATTCAATGCCAAGATGTTCAAAGATACGATCGAATGTGGATTCAAGAACTTCGAAGTTCACAATCACATCGTTTTCAAACATAGTGGGTCTTGTTGCGCTGGAAAATGGTTCAAATTCCACCTTCATTTTCGATTTATAGATTTTGTTCGGTGCAACAAAGCATAGATCATCTATGAAGCCAGCCTTGATCTCATATGTCCCGTTGTCGATTACAATCCATTCAGCATTGACATTCTTAGGCTTTTTGATAAAAACTGTCTGTTTCGCAGCTTCAAATTCCATGGGTTGATTTAAGCAATTTACTGAAAAATAAGCTTAATTTAGTTAAATGCGAAATAATGAACAGTTTATGGTTAAATTTAAACAAAAGAAGACTGTTAAACAAGTTGAGAAGACAAAAAGCGTTGATAAAACAGCAGCGGTCTTTTTCAAAGATGGATTGTTTGGAGTGTGTGTATATGACAATGATTATCACATCTATGAGAACGAATATGCTGGTTTCTCATGTCAAAATCTGTTAACTTGCATAAAGAAGCTTGAAATTAAGCTTCTTTTAATTCCAGCAAACCTGGTACATCAAAAGATTGAAATACTCAAGCAATACCACGGATCAATATTGAAAGCTGTATCAACCACAAATATAAATCCAAAGTTCAATAATGTAGATCACATACTGGGCTACTTTGCCTTTAATATGCTCACTGATTACAATAAGCATTACGAACTAGAAAACAAGAATGGTTTTGTGAGTATTAATAGCAGTCACTTACTATATGAACACTACAGTCACACTATGAACTACATTGCATCTACATCACAGACAAACCTGGAAATATCCAAATTACTCAAATTTACAAACTATTGTTACACAAAAATAGGAGCAGAGAAGCTTAAAACATGGTTATTGACACCGTTCACTAGTCAAACAGCTCTATCAGAAAGAAACAGGTTACAGAAACAACTAATCAAACAAAAACAGTACATAACAAAAATATTAGTAACCCTAAAACGAATCAATTTTGACAACCTAAGTCATACTGATGCCGATCTGCTGTTACACCAAGCAATAGTTCTCAATAAAGCTACCAAAACATACTACAAATTGCAGCAGTTTGAGAACAAAGACAGGTTTCTGCTCAAAGAAGACAAATCATCTGCGTATTTGCACAACACTTTCATTCAAAAGCGACTTGATCTCGTTGCAGTGGCATTGGCCAACAAATTGGACATCCAAATCAAAATTGTATTCATTTCTCAGGTTGGATTTGTGCTAGAAAGTGCACAACTTGATGAATTCACAACCACAAGCTGCAATCAATCATTAAGGAACACCACAGCACATGGTAGCACGATACCATTCACGTACAAGAGCCATCAACTTGAACAGATCTATTTCAAGATCAAGGGAGTTTATTACTACAAAACCAATGAAATGAGAGAATTAGATAAGAAATACGGTGATATATTTCTAGAAAACAAGAAGAGAGAGCTAAAGAACACAAAGAAACTCCTCGACAAAATGGAGAAACTTGAAATGATGCATCTTTATGAATATGTCTCTGAAATATAGTGTTGTGATTAATTGCGCCAATACTTTTTTTATGAATCAAGTACCCTAACAAATAGAAATTTTGAGGCTGTAAGTTACTACAGAGATCACCATACAATAAATTTTATTCTTAAGATGCGTGTATTATTGAAAACTAAGATAGAATATGTTACTTTCAACCAATATTATGCATACTATATACTCGCTAAGGGGGGAAATTGAGAGGATCAATTGCGCCAAATTCCACATGCATTACAACGCTCTAAGATAGCTACATTATATGCATAATTATATCAATATACACTAGGAAGAGCA